GACTAAGTCCCATTTTTATGAATTAATTATGCACGTAGGGCCAGATTTTTAAAATAATTTAGGTGCCTAAAGATGCAGATAGATGCCTAATAGGATTTTTAAAAGCACCTGTGTGGCTAACTTGACTTCATGGGACTATGACTATTTACACCGGCTGAGGATCTGCCTCAAAGTCTTGGGATTGGGGCTACACTGAATATAATGTCACCACAGAGGAACCAATTGTATATGAAGCTGCTAAACTAAGCCTGGAGCCACCTGACATGCAGTGTTAGTTCAAGTCTTGCCTGGAAATATAAAGTCCTTAGAGCCTTTCACTTGTACTTCATTTTCATACAGGGACTAATACAACTTTCACTGGCTTCACTGGGGGTTGGATTAGCTTTGTAAGGAGAGGAGATCTGGTAGAATCTCAATGATCATCATTTAGCATAAAAATGGAAAATAAAAACTCACATTCCGAACATCTACAAATATATACATACAGTATAGCCAAAGTGTCGGTATACAGTACTTAGAAATAGCAACATCCTGAGTCATCATGGCACCTAAGCAATGTGTCAAAGGACACAGAAGATGACAGTATTTGAGAAAATCACTGTTCCAAAAAAATATCCAGAGAGGGTTATGTATAAATAGGAAGATTTAACAGATATTTTGGAAGACACCTAAGTAGCCAAATAAATCACCTATGTCTTCATTTTTGTGTGACTGAGGCTATTTGAAAAAGAGCAGCTTAATTAAGAATATAAATGAGATGTTTAGGACCATGTAAATTAGAATTCTATTCTATCTCTGTACATTCTTTAATTCCCAGCACCACTTAAAACAGATAACAAGATAACAAGGGCGAAATCCTGGCCCCATTGAACTCCACAGAAAAATTTCCATTCACTTCAGTGGGACCAAGGTTTCATCCCAAGAATTTACAATAGAGAATCAAAATTCCACAATTAAATTAGCTTTTCGCAATGATACAAAAATTCAAGAGTAGGACAATATTTCTTCTTCAGCTTTCACATTTAATAAAGAGGCACTAATCTATTTCAACCAGAATAGATTTAGCAAGCAAGAGATTTAACTATTGGCCTCATATATAGGAATTTCACGCAGCATGAATACTGATCTGCATTATTAATGTTACAGATGCAATGTATTGCCTTAATGATGTTTTATGGAAATATATGGCATAATAAAACTATTTTTAATTTGAAAAGCAACATCAGTTTCCCTTTTGAAAAGATTCTCATTATAGCCCTCAGAATTTATCTTTGTAACAGTCTAGATGAAACAAGGAAGCATAGTTATCAACTTGATTCAACCACATAAGTCCCTTTAATGTGAATGAGGAATTACTGGTGTATGTCCAGCGGAAAAGTAGACCCCAGTGTTTTCTTTCTTGAAACGGTACTAGAAAAAGTCTCAATGCTTTGAGTTTCTCTCACTCTCTCTCTCTTTTTCCAAAGACTTTGTCCATTTTCGCTACACTTGTCTTCTCTTACATAAGTCAAGGCTCAAAGCTGCGTTTCTTCTTGTTCCAGAGAATGTGGAGGGATGTGACAAGATGACGGAAGAGATGCTAACTTTTGAAGTTTGGGATGTTGCAAAGGTTTTGGTCTATGAAAAGAGCGTCGACTTTGTACACGCCTGGCTGCAGCAGATCTGTAGTGGGCTTGTGGGTTAAGCAGCGTTTTCTTCTCTTGGTTCTCCTTAGGGTTAGATTCCTCTAACCTCTCTTGCATATCTACAGAATTGTCTTGTTGTGAATTCACTGGCTCATAACTAGTTTCAGAACAATATCCTGAATTGACAGGTGGTTTGTTATTCGTATCTGAGACTGCTTTCCAATAGACTTCTGTTAGGTTTGGGTCATAAGAAGTCATGTGCTCTGAGATAGTAGAAAGAGTTGTATTTCCTCGGTTTTCCAGTGAAGAACAGCTTTGTGCCCAGGGCCTTTGAAGGCAAGATGGAATGAAGTGGAGGGGTTTCTCTGAAACAGAAGCATTTTGTTTTGCTTGGTCAGGTTTCCAAGGCAGCAGTTTCTCATCTGAGAAAGCGTATCCTGTCACTGCAGCACTATGGTTCGTGTCACCTACATTGGTAAAATTAAACACAGAAGTATGTAAACATCGATTTCTTGTACAAGCTTGATTTTCATTTGAAATATTGGTTTCAGATCAATCCCTTTGTGGTTGCTATTCTGCTGAAGGTCATGTATCTTCAGGAAGGTAAATCTGTTCTCAGAGCCAGTGGGTTAAACTCTGCCCTAACTCCCACCCTGTACAACCCTAGTGAAGCTAATGGAATTGCCCAGGGTGGAAGTCAAGAAAAAATTTAGCCCAGTGTTTGTCAAGTACATCAGCCTGTTCCAAATTCTTAGGAGACAGTGCCATCCTGTGGCCATTTAAATGTATTTATTTGTATAAGCAATTTTGCCTTCGAGTATTGAATTGTAAGGGTCAGCTAAGGGATTCTAAATAATTTGGGTTCCAATGCTACTTTTACATTGGAATGTTTTACAGTATAAGATGCATTTAAAGGGATCATTGCAAGGTCTTTACAATAAAGCTGAGGCTGCTTGGACCTTACTCTTTTTTAAACTTGTTTTAACCCGTATGACAAGTTACTTTTATCCAGCAAACTCACTCCCAGTTTTAACCTTCAGGGAAACCACAGTCAAAGCGCAGTGACTGTAAATATACCCCACAAATTTATCTGCACAGGAAGCTGTTATGTACCATTGTATTATTCTAAATTATAAACTCAGTAACAATCAAGGCAATAGAATGGAATAAAGGACAAAGGTTAGTAGAAGTTTAGCAAGTCATAAGAAACAGAAGTCAATATTGTGCAATATAGTAAATATTTCCAGCTAAAAAGAAAGTTTCAGATACTTTCAATGTGAACAAGTGATGTTAGTGTCAGAGATATGTTTAAATTCTGGGATAGCATTTATTATATGTTTAATCCACACAGTAGTTCCAGTACTATTTCATTCATCTAGCAGTAATTCCAAATGGCTATTTTTTTAAATAAGACGACTTATAATTGCAAATTGGCTAAACACAATCTAAGACCAAAAGACAGCTCAACTCCACTCCACTGGTGAAAATGACACATCATACTTCTCTACCTGGAACTAGCTAAAGGCATCACTGCTCCTCATAAGATCTGAGCCATGATAAAAGGGAAATATAACTTTCTCTTTTTATTCCATTTCAGATGACTACGAAACTCCATTGCAGTCAGGTTTCTGCACTGCTCAGAGCCTAGGAAAATTTACGTTCTGTGTTTCCTTTGAACTCAGGTGGCTAACAATCACTTCAAAAGGCATGAAGCTAGAGTAAATGCACGTCAGTCAGGCTCTAAATATGTACATACATTTTTCAGGACAATATTAATAGGAGGGTGTTTCCTGCTCATTTGTAACAGCCATACCCTGAGCTGAATAAACCCTCAGCACTTTATTCGAATATGGTTCTCCCCTTCTCAGCTGGAAGCACCCTCAAGTTATCTAACTAATTCAGTTGCTGGTGCAGAGATGACACTAGGCATTGTCTTTGCACTTAATTATTCCACCATAGACCATGCACTTGTTTGTTGCTAAATCTCTGCATTGCCCTAGGTTTTGTGTTATAATGACTGAATCATGACCTGAGCCATCTCATTTACAGCAATGTCTGTGCCAGTTATAGAAATACCTCAAACTGTGGGCTGATTTTCTGTTGGGGGACTAAAGTGAGACTAAAATATTCATTTCACGTGTGACTGAATTCAGATTTGAACTGATAACCTATAGAGGTGACAACTTACTGTATTGAGCAACTACATTAAAATATTACTTAAAGTTTAAAAATAAGGTAAAGCTTTCCATAAATACACAACTTAAAATTCAACTCAGAACCAAAAGGATGTATTCTTCACACAATTCACAGTCAACCTGTGGAACTCATTGCCAGGGGATGTTGTGAAAGCCAAAACTATAACTGGGTTCAAAAAATAATTAAGTAAGTTCATGGAGGATTGGTCCATCACTGGCTATTAGCTAAGATGGTTAGGGATGCAACCCCATGCTCTGAGTTTCCCTAGCCTCTGACTGCCAGACGCTGGGAGTGGACAACAGGGGATGGATCAGTCAATAATTGCCTGTTCTGTTCATTCCCTCTGAAACACTTGGCATTGGCCACTGTCCGAAGAGAGGATATTGGGCAAGGTGGACCATTGATACGACCCAATATGGCCATTCTTATGGTGAAATGAATGTCGGTGCTCTAATAAAAATCTGGGGTCTAACTTCCCCAAGGTGTTGCCCTTATGTAGTCATCTCCACCTATACAAAGTAGATGCAATGTTTATAGCAAGCTGTACCTGATTTGTAAACTTTATCTTAAGTAATATATTGCTGTGGCTATTAGTATTATTTATTAGTTGCGGCTAAATGCTCCATCCTCATTAGGCTAGGCACTGTACAAACACATAACAAAGATGACGCCTGCTTGAAGTTACTGGGGACAACAGTTTATCACTTTAGGAGATATTAGGTTAAATCTGAATTCAGTCTCATGTGAAGTGACTTCAGCAGGAGTTTCATCCCTGTAGCAGAGGGCAGAACTGGTCCCACAATATAAATAGTTTGATTAAGCCATACAACAGAGTAAAACCAGGAAAAACAAATAGTACATAACCTACAAGTGTGTGAAATGTTTTTGGTTTTACAATAGCACAAGAAATGTTGAAACCCAAACAAAGGTCTGGTGTAGACCAGACAGCTGTGATGATTTATACCAGCAAGGGGTCTGGCCCTAAATATTTAAAGATAAGCAACTTTCATTAAAAGTACCAGTTTCAAACTGGAGCCGAATAGCAGATGTTCAGATGCAGAAAAATCAAGGAAGAGAAAGATACTTGAAAAAGACAAAAAGAGATAAGGAAAGCTGTCAGGAGGCCAGAGCAGATAGAGAGATTGATTAAAAATAAAAATGAAGGTCAATTTTAAAATATTACATATGTGTTGTTTCTGGGAGGAAAGCTCTGGGTCGCTCCTCTGGCCCATCTGCTAGCAAAAAGGAATCTACAGACTTATTGCTGAGGCGAAACGGGGTGAGCCGTCTGAAGTTGTCTGGAGAATACGGTAACTGTACTCGGGCTCTTTGTGATGGTACTACAGAATCTTCATCAGATAACCATGGCGGGAACTTCATGTAGATACTTTGATCATCATCAGCTGAAAATGCTGGGTTATCAATTCCTACAAAAGTTTATGAGTGATAAATTCAGTTGGAAAATAAAATAACTGGCAGCAAATAGGATGTTTAGCCCAGGAATATGGCCATAATGAAATAAAACAAACAAATATCGTTTTTCAGCTTTCTGCTCACATACCGGGTTACTGCTGGTCATTTTGCTATTTTAAAAGTCTCAGTTGATTAAAAAACAAATCAAACAAACCAACAAAAAACCTATCATTGGCAGTTATGGCTGAAGGCTCTGCCGACAGAAAAACCCAAATGCGCAGTTTATCCAAACGAACTGATTGGATTTAAATCAATCATACCAAATGTGCTCAGTTCTAGTTTTTTTTAAATGTATCAGTTTAAAAATGAAACATATCTGAAAGATTGATACCAGGGCTAGACTGACCAGCTGTTTTGCATCACCTCAGTAATGCAAAGGAGATTCAAGCCTGGATTAACTAGCCCATTAAGACAAGTTTATGGCTTTTTGGCATCACTACAGAGCACAAAGCAGTCAGAGGATACTGGTGAATTTGGCTCCCCAGTCTCCGACAACTTATAGTGTAAACCCAGATAGTAAGAGTATATAACAGGACGGGGCTCTGATTCTCCTCTGACAACACTGCAAATCAATAATTCCACTGAAGTCAGTGGATTTACAGTAGTGTAAAATGTGTGCAAGAGGAGAAACAGGCCAAAACAGTCAAAAGTACCTTTTTTGTATGTGTGGAAACAGGTAACGAAGCCCTTTTAAAACAAATATCAAATCTGCACGTGGTGAACCGTAAAATAATATTTTAAAAATCACAATCTAGATCCAGTTTGAAACTTCATTCTTTTCTGGAGCATTATTAGCACCCTAACACAGTATCCATCGGGGTGTGGTGTATTAGAACAGTTCTATCAGCATGAGTTTGGTTATATTCAAATGAATCCAATAGAAGCATTATACTACACCACACCTTCGCATAGCTTGCACCTGCCACGTGTTACAGAAAACAAACTACCATATATACTCGTTCGTAAGCCGAATTTTTTTAGTAAAAAAGGGAAGCACCAGAGAAGGGAGTCGGCTTATGAACGGGTATAGAGAGAGAGAGGTGGGACACAGCCCCTCCCCCCAACAGAGGGAGCAAGGAGAGGCAGCACAGCCAACAGAGACAGAAGGGAAGAGGAGGGGCCAGAGTCTCTCCGCTTCTGGCCACGCCGCTCTCCCACCAGCCTCCGAAGCAGCTGCAGCTCCGGGGCTGGTAGGCTGCAGTCGTGCCGCTTGGCCCCGCCTCCCAGAGCAGGCTGTGGCTGCGCTGTCCAGCCCGCCGGAGCACGCTGCGGCTGTGCCGCCCGGCCCAGCCCACTGGAACATGCTGTGGCCGCGCCGCCCAGTCTGGCCCTCCGGAGCAGGCTGCAGCCGCGCTGCCCAGCCTGCTGGAGCAGCTCCAGCCAGGCCAGAGACATCCTCCCTTGGCCCTCCCCAGATAAGGTGGGAAGGGATGGGATGGGGAGAGTGTGGGGGTCCCAGGCTAGGGGTGGTATCATGTGGGGGGTGGTCACAGGGGTTACTCCCCTGACCCCCAGCTTCTCCTCTCCCAAAACATTTCCCCACCAGTTGCTGTCCCGGCCTGTCAGGGTAAGCAGCTGGCACGCCGGGACACTTTGTTTACTTAGGTTTACCTCCGTGCCTGCGGAAGCTCGAGGTAAACAAACCATCTCGGCCCGCCAGTGGCTTATCCTGATGGCCTGGGAGCCAAAGTTTGCTGACCCCTGAATTATAGGGTCGGCTTATGAACGGGTTATAAAAAATTTCCATTTTTACTTATCCATCTTGGCGGGGTTGGCTTATAAACGACCCGGCTTATGATCGAGTATATACGGTACTATGTTGTGAGTCCTACTGGACCGGGACTAGACAGAGGGAAAATTAACACATTTTAAAACCTTAAACATTACCTAAAATAGCTTCTTCTAGACATAAACATGTCATGGTTTTAAAATCTGATGTCTTTGAACTTTCCAGAGCTAGAAGCAAGAGCTGTGTGGCTCACTGGAAAGCTGGGAATCCCCAGTGATGGAAAGACCCTGCTTCTAGCTCTGCAGGGTCACTAGAATGATATTAGAACTTAAATTTATACTGGTCCAAGACTAACTATTGCCCGTTCTGGGCCCCAGGACACCGTAATTTTGGGGAGAGACATTCCACATCAAGAGGAAACGAAGAAAACATATTTGAGTCAAGTTGACGTATATATTCCTGACAAAGCAGAAATCAATTCAAAACGGCTGAATATTGGCTGACTGAAAATCAGGACAACTCTAGAATCATTTTTTCTGTGTCTAGAAGTGATTAGTCATTTCACAGCCAGGGTATGCAGTCATGAGCACAACCTTTGTCAATATCATCAGTAGAAAGCTATTAACAAAAAATCTAATAAACTGCTATGCAATTGAAGAAAATTCTGCATTTATGATCTATTTTCTTACCAGAGGTAGCATCTGTGCAATTCTGCTTGGTGACATTAGCTAAAAAGTCAACTCCTTTGTCCATATGCAGAGATTCATAATTTTCTTCTGGATCAGAAAATTCCACATCTGGAAGAAAATATAAAAAAAATCAGTGTGCGCTAGAGATTCCTAAAAGATTTGACCCAAAGTGTTATTTGGTAGCTTCTTGATGCTAGTGTAGCTATCAAAGATTTATATAGTAAATCTTTAATGTAAATCTGGGTAAAGATACGTTTTGAAAGCAATCGTATCTTTATAACTAAATTCTGTACACATCTAGTTTATCAGGTCGCTAATATTTGATTCCTGGTTCACTCCTGCAACAGTATCTTGTGCTGTAATTATGTTAGTTTTTCCAAACTAAAGGGGATTGGGCTAGATGAGTACTTGGATAGGAGAGCTGCAGGAAAAGCTTACAGACCGCAGCAAGTGCTGATTCAGAAGGTGGCACTTTTCCTGCTTACCCAGTGCTGAAAGAAAGCCTGAGCATAGTGACAGGGGTCACTGTGCTGCTAGAGGTGCTCTCTTTCAAATGGGATACAAAATTGAGGTCCTGACAACTTGTGGTAATTAAAGATCCCATTGCATTTTCATAAAGGGGTTAACATCGGTGTCCTGGATCATTTCAAACTTGGTTAATTAATTCCTGCCAATCTATGCTCCCCCCTGCAGTGGCTATGATGTTCTTTCCCACCTCTCAACGCAAACCACCACGTAGTGCTGCTGTGTGTGGTTAAACACCTGCTGTGTTTCCCCCCAGAGGCAGCTCCATATCAGTGGCCGGTGAAATGATCCCCGTACATTAAATCCCTTATCAACCCCTCTATAGAAAATCCCTTAACACAGGAGTGATGGAAGGCCTAATTAGTTAATGTTTGGGAAACACTTTAAGATCAAAGGAGCTATAGAAGTATAATTATTATTCAGCCAGTATATTGCTGCTGGCAATAAAAATAAATGCTAATAAACTGATAGAGAGCAAATACCTGAGCTCAGAGTTTCTACTTCCCACACCCACGCTATTCCTTTCCGAAAGCTATAGGGAAAATTCTGACACCGCCCCTCCTCCCCCTACTTCCTAACCCTCTTTAAAATCAGCGGGGTTGCATGGGTAACTGAGGGGAGAATTTAACTCAGTGCCTTATAGTAACTTGCCATGGCAGGTGGCATCAGACACAACTTATTGTGATTGACTCCAGCAAGTGCAACAGCACCTGCAAAGAGACAGCTGAAACTCAGATCCAAGGATCTTTTTCTTTAAATGCAAAATTAGAAGTGCAGGGTTTTTTCTTTCCTTCTTTTGTTAGGGACACTCCCAAGGCTAGTAGCCCAAAGCTAGATTTGCTAGGCCAAATTCTGTCCTGGAGTCACTGGGGTTGCATTAGGGTAAAAGTCAGCACAGTATTTGGCTATACTGTCTTTCCATTCATGTACATGTTATGCTGTCCTCCTGTTCCAGCCTGCTTGCTCTGCTTTCAGAGAAAGTACCGATATTTACAAGATGCCTGGGCAAGTCACGATGGGCGCATGTACATACCCGTGGGATCACAAAGAAAGCCATTATCATAGTTAGCTGTGGCATGTCATGACTCAGAAGCTGAGATTTTATCTATGTTGTGGTCTTCTTTATGGTGGCCTCCAATTATTTTTAGGATTTCAAGATTAAACATTGGTTTTGTTAATGTTAGTTAGTTATAAAGTAGGTTAAATTTCAGCTTGTCACCAAGTTGTCTATGAAAATATATTTATTTTTTAAATGTTCATTACTTCCTTCCAAACACATCTTTTTCAGCACGGAGAGGGGGAAATGTGACATGGGTAGTAGTACATTTGTTAATGTCAACTTAGTTTTTTTTCCTGCCATGAAATTTCACAAGAACACTCTTCCTCCAACAAAATACAAGCTGATTAAAACAATCTGGTTAACTACTGTTGTTTGACAGTGAAATTACCTTTTTCCTTCAAAGTAAAATCTTGCACTGGATTTTCTGAAGGTATTTTTCCATTTGGTATGGCATTACTATTTCTCTGAAAAAGTAAAACATTTCAAGTTACCTCAGACAGTGAAAGCTATGCAGTACACATTGTAGATACAGAGAGCCTGATTCCCCAGCTTTCTGCCAATCAAATGGAGTTCACCAACATAATACTGGAATAACGCAGTGGTGATCATGCCTAGATATTTTAAGCCTTTATTTTGTCTTTGCATAGAACTCCCATTGATGTTAGTGCAGACACACAACTCTATTAGTGGTATGTGGCCGAGTTTCCTACTCCTTTTGCAATTGGGCAGGTTGGATTTGTCCCTCCTTCCTCCATGCAGGAGAAGCTGGAGTGTCATCTCCTCAAACTATCAGCTCCCCTGAGCTCCATGCAACTCCATGGAGACATAGGTGCCAACTTCCCCTCTTTCCCCTGGGTGCTCGACCCCCCCCCTGCGTCCCCTGCCCAGCCCCTACTCTACCCCTTCCATGAGGCCCTGCCCCTTCCCTGCCTCTTCCCACCCCTTCCCAGACCCCATTCCAACCCTTTCCCCAAAGTCCCCGCCCCAACTCCGACCCCTCCCTGACAATATTCCAACTCCTTCCCCAAATCCCCGCCCCAGCCCTGCCTCTTCCCTGCCTCCTCCCCTGAGTGCACCATGCTCCCGCTCCTCCCCCCCCCTTCCTGGAGCGTGCTATCGCTGCCAAACAGCTGTTTGGCAGTGGCCAGGTGGGAAATGCTGGGAGGTAGGCAGAGGAGCGGGAATGCGGCGCGCTCAGGGGAGGAGGCGGGGAAGAGGCAGGGCTGAGGCGGGGGGAAAGGGGAGCTTGGCTGCCGGTGGGTGCAGAGCACCCACTAATTGTGAGCACTTTTGAAAATGTAGCTTATAGTCCAGGCCTCCTTACAGTGTCAACGTGTGATGCTCTATTCCTTACTGCTACAACATAGCAAGGAAATTTGCACAAAAGTAATAGGCTAAGGATGTTTTTCATAGAAACCCATTAATTTTTCCCCGTGGGTGCTCCAGCCCCAGAGCACCCACGGGGTCGGCGCCTATGCATGCAGACACGAGCCATCCCTTCTGGCACCATGGTTGTTGGACTGGAATCCCCTCACATCCAAAGGAAGGATCCCACAGTGCAGAGGGAAATGGTGGGTACGTTCCACAAGATTGGTGAGGATATAATGCCATCTCCAGTGCTGCCCCTCGACTCATCCCACATTTTGATCTCTCCCCTGGCTTGGGTCTTGATCGCCAATACTCCCTCTGAGGAGCTTCCACAGGGAAGAGATTGATGCTGGGAGCCAAAACTACCCTATGCTTCCTCAGGAATGGATCCTCTAGAGTACCGGGCCTTTTGTCTGGGTAAATGGCCCTAAGCGCACGCCCCTTACCCTTTTTTGGCCCCGGTCTCTCTTGTGGCTTTTGTTGAGCTTTTTGGGCTGGTTTATTCCTAGTTTGGTACTCTTGAAAGACTCTAAGCGCTTCCTCATTGTCCGGTGGAAAATCTCCTTGTCTTGTTTTTCGTCTTCATTCTGAATGATCTCGTGCCGACTGTACAGATGTATGTGCTGTAGCCGGGAAGATAAGAGAACATTTATTTATATAGAAATGCAGACTGGGGCCCAGCACCAAGGCAACTGCCAAAACCAATCGATTACAAAAAAACAATTAATTACAAGTCAACACACTAACAGGATTCCAGGTAGTTAATTATTTCCTTCTGAACTATAGGTATGGTAATTTGAAAAATATTGATTAAAAGTCATTCAGACTAATCACACTGGCTAGAATAGGTCTGGATTAAACAGCTCAGTCTTCCTAACGTTCACATGCTTCATTTCACCCTCACCCAGCCAGTTAGCTTTCAGACCAGCAACAACCAACCAGCAGAACACATCTGGGGCCCAATTCTGCAATCTTCTCTCACATGAGTAGTGCCATTGAAATCAATGGGACTACTTATATTATAAGGACTGCTCACATGATTAAGGGTATGCAGGATCAGAGCCCATCTTCAGTTAATGATTGATTTTGCAGATTAGTCCTTTTATTTTGAGTTTCCCAACAATTTTCTGCATTTTGTTTCTTCTGGCTGTCAAATGAAAACATGGTAATTGCTGCAACTGTGCTCTCACCTCTTGTCTGGGTTTGTAGAGGTACTGCTGCAGTGTGTGGTGAGTGACTGTATCCTCTGTATCTCGTATGCTTTTTCTCCTCTGCTCTAAGGCTTGCATATCAAGACAAACGGAGCTGGCTTTTTCTCTCCTAAAGCAGAATATTAAAATACATACAACGTTTTTCTAGATCACTAACTGGAGGGAAAAAAGTATGCACTGCAATATATTTAAACTTGAAGATAAGTGTGGATGGGATAAAAACAAGTAAACGTCATCATGGGTCAAGTGTAGTCTAGAGTGAGTGGGCACAAATCTGGGCAGATTTAGCAGTGACATTAATGGTGGTATAATTTGGTCAGGAAAAGCAGACAAATGACAAACCAGTGCAACTTGCAACAATTTAGCATTGATTGATCGTTTGCTTTATCTTATAAACTTATGCCTGTTTGCTTCTTTTCCTGTTACATCTCATCCTTGTGCACCTGCAGGATGGAAGGTCTATTAATCTAGCTCAGTGGTTCCCACACAGTGGGGTCCCCAGACCTCTGGGTGGTCCGCTATGGGTTATGCGGGGGTCTGTTCCTTGGGACAGGGCCAGAACCTGCCGGAACAGCATTCTGGCACTTGTGCTGCATGTAAGACACCGTTTTTCTCAGACACTGTGCATGAGAGATCATGCTGGTAGAGGCGTTCTGGTCATGCCAGTACTTGCCCATTCAGAAATACACGTTCCCTGTGAGGGTTTAGTAGTACTTCTTCTGCCACAGATGTCAAGACTCACAACACTCACAAGTAATACCCCCATTTAGGGGAAACAGAAATTCAGATAAAGATACGTGTATAGGGTTTCAGGACTCTACAGCGAAGCTGGGAACTAAGCCCCCGGAATCCTGAGACCACTGAACTAAACTGTGTGTGTGTGTGCGCATTTTTGGAGGTGGCATAACTAACTGAACTAATAGAGTAATAATGACATGAAACTTATGTATAAACAATGAAAGGGGTCTGGGATATTTAGTCAGATGCCAAAGGGATCCTTGGCAGAAAAAAGTTTGGGAACCACTGATCTAGGTCATTCATCCCTATGCTATTAGTCACACTCATTTTCTGTACCCCGGGAATACCAAATTCAGTAGTACTTGACCACTTACATCTGTGGTCAGACCAATTTGCATCTTATGAGTAGCAGATGCCACTGTTTATATCACAGTTAAATTTATCCCAACAAATTTTATGTGCCATTTGTTTCTCACAAATATGTGTATTTTTCTTTCTTAAAGGGTGAAAAGGTGACTTGAGACTAAACCTCTGGAATTTGCCCAGTAGTGAATACTGTAGGCAAGACCCACGTACTCTGCAGAAAGTTGGACCAATATTGTGCTGTATAGCTCTGTAGTTTTTGTGGCATGCCTGTGCACCAGATGGGAAATTTGGTGCCAACTCCAGAAATATTCAAATGAGGAGATTTTTTAAATTAAATATGCAAAAGATAATACAATTGCCATAGTCTCTTCTGTGTTGTTTATGTTAGTATTGCACACTTTTTTTTTTACTCTGCCTCTACGTATTTCATACGCCACAGATATTTGTATTGACAATGCATAACTGCAGGGCAGAAGCTATCAGAGGGGAAGCTGGAGGTTTTGGCAGCTGGCAAGGGGACAGAAGAGGCCAAGTTTTACTATCCTTATTCAGACCAAGTACCCCTCGAGTAGATCCACTGAAATCAGTGGGTCTACTCAAGAAGTAAGGTCCTACTTGTGACAGATTTTGCAGCATCTTTGGGGACCAACGTATTAAATTTATGAAATATTTATGTCTGATTGTGTTCTGCTTCATGGGGGAGAGTTACCACAGCTCCTCCAGGAACTGGAAAACACTATGGGGTGATCACCCTGGGGACTGTAAACAACTCCAGAGAAACACCATCCCCTGGGGTGTTTGCATACACTGGTTCAAACTAGGTTTCCCAGAGACCCAAACAAAGAAAGGGCTTTGGGTATAAAAAGGCTGAGTTTGAACTAACACAGAGCCTTATTTTCATTCAGCAAACGGACACGATCATCTGTCCAGGGGAGGGGTGGGGCAGAGCAATCCTTGGCTTACTAGGGCTTTGGCTTACTAGGGTCCATAAGACTGATGGGTGACCTCTGATAAGCTGTTAGCTTGCATATAGGAACTTCTATTGTTTTTATATGTTTTCCCTGTAATGCTTTTACCCTAACAATAAATGTATTTTGTTTTGTGAAGGCTGGTTGGTCACTGGTATACACAGTTGTAGCCCCTGGAGAAAGGTTAACCACAGGTGCTGGACTCCTGTCAGACCTGCTGGGGAAATCACACTGAAGTGCAGAAGACCATGAGCCTAAACCCCACATCCAGAGTGAGAGACAAGCAGGTCTCCACCCATGAGATATGACGGCTGGGAGCCTGAAACCTTATGTGGGAGCCGTCGAATAAGAGCATGGTGCGTGTGTGTCAAAGGTGCAGTTAAACTCTGAAACTGTGACACTGTTCAGTGCGAGTAACAGTGGAAGCATCTGGCCCAAGGTGTGGGAAGCAGTTTGGTATTAAGAGATAAGCACATTAACAGCTAGACACAATTAGCATTTTTTCAATGAAAAGTTTTGAATTGAAACATGGGATTTCAATATCAGTGACTTTTTGTGTGGAAACTTCATTTTCACCACTTTTTTCCCAAAATGAAAATTTTCAACAATTACGAAATTTTGCAAAAATGTCTGTTTTTAAATTGTAGGGAAAATACCACTTCCTCGTTTAAAAAGAATCCTCCCCCTCCCCCATATTTTCTTCCACTAACTTTTTTCAGCAAATGTTCGTACCATTTTCCAACCTGCACTATTAGCAGCATGTTTCTGCGGGAGAGCATCCCCCGCCCATGTAGCGCTGTCCACACCGGCGCTTTTGTTGGTGAAACTTATGTTTTTTTCACACCCCTGACTGACAAAAGTTTTGCCGACAAAAAATGCTAGTGTAGACAAAGCCTTAGTTTCACCAATAGCCGGCTCTTAAAAATATAGGACCAGCTTTATTGGTACATTGCTACTATGCACCACTCTGCAATTCAAAGCAGCCATACATCTGGTTTAACTGGCAGGTTGTATCCAGTTTACAGCTGTTTTACATAATGGAAGTGGCACAAACTGCTGGAGCATACCAGGGAATATGTCTCATAATTTAAAAAAAGAAAAAGAAATTTTACAACATTTAAATAATGAATTCTAAACAAAGGTAATGGTAAAGGGTGGATTCTGTGGCTCTGGCATCATGTAACACACAAGGCTCTGGCTACAGGGAGGGATGCAAAACTGTATGAATGATAAGTCCCTGTTCTTACACACTGGATCTTTCTGAAAAATTCACCCTTAGGGATAACATTTTCATGCTTGGTCTCTGACCAAAGGAGATTTTAGTTTGGCAGGTTTGTGTAAAATCATTTAGCTGCTTCTGATTTCCACAAAGGTGAAAAAATGACTCTTCCCATTTTTTTAAAATACTGCCATTCATTTTTCTGCACATATGTGATCCTCTCTATTCCCATTTTTCTGGTTATACGTGTAACTTTGTATATTCCTGTTCATGTCATAAAATGTATTCCATTAAACTCCCAGGAATGAGATAACCCTGAGGAAGGGTTCTCTTCTTTGAACCTGGTGAAATATGTAATGAGTACAATATGCTACTTTGACAGACTGACAATGTCTTGTAATATCCTGGAAAAACCTTACGGAATTAAGATAAACTTTACTGAATTAGGTTAAACCTTACTGAATTAGGGCTAATACCTTTGTAGGTCCATTGTATTAAAAATGCAATTCTGTATGTGTTATTGTCAAAGTATATGTACTCTCTAGCAGAAGGAGGAACACAGGCGCTGACTCCATGGGTGCTCCATGGCTGGAGCACCCACGGGGAAAAAATGGTGGGTGCTGAGCACCCATTAGCAGCTCCCCTATCAGCTCCCCCCCCCCCCCCAGCGCCTCCCACCCATCGGTGGGCCCCGCGGATCAGCGCCCCCCCCTCCCTCCCCACGCCTTCTGCCTGCTGCAATCAGCTGTTTCACGGCTTGCAGGAGGTGCTGGGGGGGACAGAGGGAGGAGTGAGGATGCAGCGTGCTCGGGGGAGGGGGCGGAACTGGGCGGGAAAAGGCGGGGTGAGGGTGGAGCGGGGGTGGGAAGAGGAGGGGCGGAGGTGGGTCTTTGGGGCAGAGCCGGGGGTCGAGCACCCCCTGGCACTTTGGAAAGTCGGCACCTGTGAGGAAGATGCTAATGTACTTCCTTTGTTATCAGCCTTTGAAGCCACCTCCTGGAGAGGGGCGTATATACGAGTTCAAACTGGATTCTTCATGACCCAAGAAAGACAAAGAAAGGATTTTTGGATAAATAGTCTGGTTGTAAACTGGCTCAGGGCCTTCTTCCTGATCCAGCAAATGGACAGAACCCCTGGTCCATGGAGAGCCCCAGCCTTTTGGGAAGGAGTTGGAAGGACTAGGCCTGCTGAAGCCCCATAAGACAGGGGGGCCTGTTCTGAGCTGAAGCTGTGGTGAGCTTGTAACCACAAGGACTCCCCTTGGGTGGGGGTTTGAAGGACTGCTCCTGCCAGAGTCCATGTTAGGGCTGGGGCGAGCCCTTATTAGCATGCGTGTAGCTTGTTTTATTGTTTTTAATATGTTTTCTCGGTAATGCTTTTTACCTGAAGAATAAAACAGGCTTGCATAGAAAGAACAGTGTGGGGTACCTGTCACTGTTGAAAATCACTCAGTTATCAGTCTCTGAAGAGAAAGCAACCAAGTCAGCATGGGAGCATTTGACGCCCATTTTGTACTGGGGTAAACACAATTTTTTGTATTTAATCATATATAACTCAAAAATGAAACAAAAAAACCAGTCCCTAAAAAAGTTACTTACAGTAAACAGGAGACAGAGGCCTCTACAGTACTTGGTCGAGGAGTGCTGAAGTCCACATTGACCATGTTGTCAGTACTTGAAGAACGAATAAAAGCCAGGGAACCTCTACGCTCTCCCTGTTCACCGAAAGAAATAAGGTGCATTACAGCTTAGCGGTAGGGCTTTCAGTCAAAGGGTATATGATGTTAACACAGGTATACCTAGGGCTAAATTGTATAATATTAAAAAACGATGGCATCATTTTTGAAGCTTCTGTAGGCAAATGACCCATAAATACATCTTTCCCCTAGTTCTTTTGTAACAGGAATAAGGTCTCTTTTTTCATGTGGTTTATTTCCCTGGGGCAAAAGTCAACCTTGTACAGGGGGCCAGCCCAAAGCCGCTCCACGTAAGTCACACTTAATAGCCCTAATTTTAAGACTTAAAGTGACATTTTAGGCTTTCTCCTTATCTTCCGCAAATTGTACCCCTGCACCTCTAAAGGCCCTCAGTGAATTCCCCTTTCCACTATATAAAGGGTTACTTCCAATACTGGGCAACATTTTTCATCTACGACCTTGCTAGCCACCTGTAAAGATCTACTTATCTAGATTCTTATATTGGCACCCATATCTGTGCTAACTGAACACCTTCCAAGATATGACAGTAATCGTTCTTTCTTCCTTCCCAGAAAGGAGGCAAATGTTTGGTTAGTCATTAAATGTATGCATGCATGCAAGAGGAACTAAAGCTAAATTGAAAAGGTGAGCTTTGCTTTCAGTTCTGTGTGGTGATACAAAAGTGAATTCCTGCGAAACTTTTGTCTCCCGCGTTCGCTAGTGCCCCCTGCTACTTGACATTTTCATTGTTCTGGTGGACTGTAGCTAGTGAGTGAAGTCATGCTCCCAGAAGGAGAAAAATTTCTCCGGTAGTGAGGGGCAATCCCACATATGGTTTTGAATTGCAGCACAGAGATCTTGGACTGGACTCTATGTTTTAATGAGCGGTGAACAGAACATCTGTGGAAAAATATTTCCCCCACTGACAGAAGTACATTATTCTTAAGATCAAAGCTAATGTATTGTGATGTTGTAAGCTATAGCTCTGTCATGACCATTTTACATGTCCATGCACAGCAAAGGAATCAAGAAAGCTTATACATGGTTGTAACAGGATGTGCTGAGCCAGAAGCTCACTCAACACCCTGTCACTCATATCCCTGCCAGTTTGTATTAATTGAGCTTGGATTGAAAAACAAGCAGTTGGCAGAGGAGGCCAAATAACTGAGTGGCAATACAGCTGAGAGGCTAATAGGGTGGAAGTATCCCCAGCAGCTAGGCAGACGGGAAGGAAGCCCTGGAGAGAGTAGGGTGCCTGAAGGAAGGAACAAGCAGGCAGGACTGGCTGCTGTTCGCACTACTAGTGTACCCTTCCCCAGAAAGCAAGTGGGGAAGCTGGCTATTGATTGTAAATGTAATATATAATAGAGTGGTGGTTAAGAAGACCTGGAGTGGCTGTGGTCAGCTACTGAGGCTGGAAAGGACACTTAGGAGACCTGTGACAATGGTGGAGAAAACCTATGTTCCATGCAGTACAATCACCTATGCATAATTTATAGTAATCTGTGTTCTAAGCAATTTAGAACCATTCCATGGCATTAGAAAAATCAATGTGACATCTGAAAATAGAAACACCTACATAAATATTACAGTGAAATTGAAATCAGATATTTAAGGTACCTGAATGTGAGGTTCATAATTATATTACTGCTAGAACTATTACTGATTGAAGCATGAAATGTTTTTTAAATGACTCCCATGACACTTAAATGCATGAAATGGGGCTACAGATATTTCTGGTCACAGGTAGAAATGTCCTTCTGTGAACATTCATCTGCAGTTATACTTCTGGAGGCCTTTCTGTGTGTGATAACTAGAACAAGACACTTTGACCTAAGCTCTCAGTCTAGATGTGGTTCTAGCTATTAGTTGAAGACTGCCTATGTGCCGTGGATCAATGAAGCCTTCTTGCTCAATATCCAGACTAACGGGTTAGGCTGGGGAGAATAACAAGGAGATTTTCTGGCCTGCTGGTATGCAGAGATTGGTAGGAATTTGAGAGGCCAGCTGTTCTCAGACTGTGGTGTCCGGAGTGCTTCTTGGTGTTCCGCAGAATTAAACAATTAGAGAACCAACAAATAGGTGGTAGAGCAGGAAGAGTTGGTCCCAGAAAAGACTGTTGTCTTGTGACATGGCTCACAAAATGAAAAAGCTTGGGAACATTCCAAAAGATTTTGGATTTTGCCCGTGAGTAACATTGAATTTGCTAGTGCAGCAAAAATGTTTTGTGTTTTGGTGTTAATTTTTTGGGAGGCTAATGAAACAAAAAACAAAACAAAACAAAACCCCAGCTCTTTATCAAGCTTGTAATTCATTTGGCTACAAAAATAAGCTCCACCTTGAGGCTAGCCCGCAGATGCTCTCAGTCTGCAACTGCCATCTGCACTGCTTACTCTAACTCTAATTTCTGAACAAGCCATCACTGGAAAGCACACTATTGCTTCAGCCACCGCTTGTTTAATTATTCATAGGGAGCCAGATTCTGCCACCTTTACACATGCTGACTAGCACATGCTCACTTGCATAGCTCCTGTGAAACCATGGTACTACTCAACGCATGTGGAAGCAGAAGCCAAACTCCTACATGATACCTACCAGAACAGAACAGTGACATATACAGGACCCAGTGGTACTGAGGAATTTAGAGGTCATACAATGAACCACAATCAGATAAATAGGTAATTACGGGACACAATGCACTTCAAATACCATTTCACCGTAAAAGTAGATTTGCTTTTGATTCAGCTCTCCTAATACATGGAAGTTAAGAAATGCTGCAATATTTAAAACAAAGAAATATGATGTTACAGTGTGTAAGAAAATATGTTTAAAAGTACCTCAGCCACATAGCTAATAGCATCCTTCAGGTTGAGCTCATGGAAAATATTAAGAATCTGGTCTCTTGATTTTTGAGCAGACCTTCTCATCAGTACTTTACTGAGGATTTTCCGATCAAAATTGGACCACCTAGTGATTTAAACAAACAATTTTAACAGCAGCAATCAATTTAAATGATAGTTAGCATTTTTAGTTTTGCTTGAACAGCTGTTCCTTTGAGTTAAGCATTTTTATACAGTAACTCCTTGTTTAACGTTGTAGTTATGTTCCTGAAAAATGCGACTTTAAGCGAAACGATGTTAAGCGAATCCAATTTCCCCATAATAATTAATGTAAATAGGGGAGGTTCCAGAGAATTTTTTTTCATCAGACAAACTACTATATAAGTTTTAAACAAACAATTTAATACTGTACACAGCAATGATGACTGTGAAGCTTGGTTGAGGTGGTGAAGTCAGAGGGTGGAATATTTCCCAGGGAATGCCTTACTGCTAAATGATGAACTAGAACAGCTGAGCCCTCAAGGGTTAACACATTGTTGTTAAGGTAGCCTCACACTCTACAAGGCAGCACAAATGGAGGGAGGGGAGACAGCATGGCAGACAGACACAGAGACACACACCCTGTGTGTGAGAGAGATGCCCATTGCCCCTTTAAGTACACTGACCCCACTCTAAGTACATTGCCTTTTTAATTAGATCAGCAAGTTGAGACAGCCGCTGCTGCCAGAAATCTCCCTCCCATGTCCCCCCTGCTCTGTGGAGATGGAGTAAGCGGAGGGCAGAAGCAGGGGGGAGGGGGACACTCTGACATTAGCACCCCTCTCTCCCCCCCTGCAAAGCAAGCAGGAGGCTCCCAGGAGAAGCTCCAAGGCAGAGGGCGGGAACAGCACAAGGCAGTGGGGGGAGGGACAGCTGAACTGCCGGTAATTGATAGCCTGCTGGGCGACTGCTGCACAGGGAACTTAGGGGAGTGGGGAGCTGATAGGGGGGCTGCCGGTCCACCCTGGTTCCAAGCCCCCACCAGCTAGCTCCAAGGGGCTGCTCCTTCTGCAAGCAATGGACAAAGCAGGCAGCTGCCAAACAACGTTATAAGGGAGCATTGCGCAACATTAAACGAGCGTGTTCCCTAATTGATCAGCAACGTAACAACAAAACAACGTTAACCAGGACAACTTTAAGTGAGGAGTTACTGTACACCTTATCGGATAATAAACACAGGGAAATATGTTTTGTTGCTTTATTTCTGTAAATAACAGTTAAAGCACATTTGTAAAAGCCTTATATGGAGTTACACAATTCACAACTATCTTTTGAGAGGTGCAGCCACCAGGCACAGCTACTGCAGAACAACAGCAGTAAGAGGTTTGTGATTAGAGTATACAAAATGGTTCTAGTTTCAAAATCAATAGGCCATGCCATACACCAGGGAATAATGCCATTTTATTTTTCTACTTCTGACTATTCGATTGTATCTTTAAGAGCCTTTTAGGAACCCTCACAGTAAAAGTTAAAAAATCTCTTTCCTTCTACGTGAAAGAGTTTACCTTCAGTAATGGATGATTTTTTTACCCAATGTCTTGTAGGTTGGCCCCACTGAGAAGCCCCTGCATGCCCCAGTGAATTATTCTCAGATATTGAGGTGGTGCCTGTTCTCAGTAACTTTGAGATTGCATTTACTCAGGAGATCTTGGTCACCAAAGCGAACAGTCAGCCAAGTATCTAGGTTAGGTCAGGCCTTTCCTCCTTTTACAGGGAGGCTCCCCTCCTATGCTGAAGTAGTCAGGCTCTGTCTGGCCTGTGACTTTAAAAAGCCTCAGCTTCATCACCATCACAACCAACACGCCACATCTGAGGAAATGTTCTCTTATTTCCTCATCGTAAGAAATTCATTCCCAATACCCAAACCCAGGACAAGATTCCTGGTTACCCAAGGGAAAATGGCTTCTCTGTATGAGACCCCTCATAAAAACGTCATTGTATGAACAAACTGAAATCTCTCTTTACTCTGCTACGCTAAGGAGCGTTACCTATTATCTTAGGTGTACAAATGTCATCTATTATGGTGGAACAAACCATAATAGATGACATTTGTACAGATTCCAGAGTTTCCAGATTCCCTCAGAAGCTGGTTTGGACAACGTTCTGCTCAAACTTTTGGTCTCTCCAAGCTCTCTATTTCAGTCCTACTGCAGCAGTGCTAAACTGAACAGAGGGGAAAGAAAGAGTTTGCTTTAAGCCCATGGCTGAAAGGGTTTCCCATCCTCAAGTAGCACTATAAGAAACTACATTTCCAGGTTTAAATAGTCTTTTTCCTTTTATTCTCCTTCCCTGCTCTAGTTCTCAAAGTCTGCCCATCACCATGGTTTCTGAGCACTTTCATTATAATCCATTATATATAATTGAAATGAAATTGTGAAAATATTTGGAAGCTGAAGAACCTATTGTCCAAGGAGGTAACATTTGTGTGTTTCAATTTGGAACAGATTAACATCCTTTTCCATACACACAAATATGGTTCCTAAAGTTGGTATCAGAGGGGCTAAAATTGTGTGTTCAGTTCAAATCCTGTGCAAATGGCCACCTCTCAAATAATTCTACACAGGAATAGATCCCTAAATACAGATGATGACATTAGCAAAGGCCTAATCCAGGCCTTAGTTGTGACACTGAAAAGGTTCCATTGGTGGGAGATGGGCAGTCCCCAAAATCCACGGGGGATTATCAACTGGTTAAAGTGTTATAAACTGAAAAGACGTTGGTAACATCCCAGACCTTTCACTTGGACAGCCACAAAGACTTAAAAGTCATAGTTTACAAATGGGATTTTCTATCTAAAATAGACAAAATTGGTTCTCCAGGAAATGATTATTGAAGCAGAGGAGGGCAATGGTGTTTAATCTGTGAATTGCCCTTAGAGTCTTTCTTACAATGATGAAATCAATGAAAATAGCCAGTGTAGTTTCATTTTCCAAGATGAATGGAATGCAAAAATGTAAACAAACTGGATCAATGTTGAGAAGTATATTAGAACAAACAGTTGCTGGAGGATTCTCTGCAACTTGAAGTCTTTAAATCATGATTTGGGGACTTCAACAGCTGAGTCAAGGGAGAGAATTATTCCAGGAGTGGGTGGGTCAGCTTTTGTGGCCTGCATCATGCAGGAGGTCAGACTAGATGATCATAATGGTCCCTTCTGACCTTAAAGTCTATGAGTCTATAAGAGGAAGGCAGATAAAAACCTCAAATCTTTGCACAAGGTATTTTCTCCGTTGCGCCATATATTTAAGAATTTAAAAAAATCTTCCTGTTGAACATTCTAAATGGTTACTAACTGCACAGGTAATGCACATTTTTGCAACAATGTGGTTTTTATCTAGTGTGATTAACTCCAGAAATTCAGGGAGTGGGAAGTGAGGGGCGGAGCAGGGGGAAGGGACCAGTGTCACCCAAGCTGTCTCCATTCAGTTATTCCCTAAATACCCATTTCGCTCATCAAACAGATGTAAGCAAAGCTACCACTATGTTAATACATTCCCATTTCCTTAAATATCCCAGATCAGTAAAATAAGGACAGCTAACACCACTTACTTGTCTCGCAGATAATTATGTCCTATTTGTCCAGATATGTCTTCAACAGCAGAAAGAATGTGATCAAAAGCCTATGGAAAGGAACATAAAATTAATATTGTGTGGAAGTTAAGGGCGTTGCTATAAAATAGCTTAATTCATATGGGGTCAGATCTGGTGTCTATCCAGAACAATGTTATGAATACCAATGGAATTACTTCCTGTTTACATGAGTGTGCTGAGATTAGCGTCTCATTTTCCTACAGAGCCAGGCCCTTATTCTCCTCTCATACCAGTTCTATCATAGTGCTATCCACTGACTACTCCTGATTTACCCAAATTTAAGTAAGAAGAGAATCAGACCCCATTTTGTTAATGCTGACTTTTATTGCTCCTTCATCCTAATCCCACTTTTGCATCTCCTTCCTTTTTGCTGTCAGAAGTGCATGAGCCATTTGCCTCTTCTAAATCAGCTGAAGGTTTCTTTCTTGTTGCTTCTAGCTCCTTGCCATACTCTTTGAGAATGAATATTTCCCTCAGTGTAGTGTGAGTACCAATCCTCTTTTATTATGACTGTAAAACACTCAACACCTTGGGTAAATCTTTGTCCTCAGTTGTTCCTTATTTACACTGGTGTAACTCCACTCTGTGGAATTACGCTCACTCAGATTTACACCAATGTAATTGAGAGCAGAATTTGACTTTACTCTTTCAATCTTTACTCTGAAAAGCTGACTGGTTTATTGGAAATCTACAGCATGACAGGTTTAGATTAGTGCACACTGTGACTGGCGCACTTGATCAGCATTACTACTGAATATAATATATGCATGATGCTCAGTATCACCTCACCAGATATATACAGCAGAGAGTTAGGGATGTACAGAATAAGGTATGATAAGTCAGGTACCTCGTTACCATTGGTTGGGAATGCATACTACACTATCTTGAGGGTGGTGCATTGGGTGCCCTTCCTAGGAGCTCCTGGAGGCATTGTGCTTCCCTGAGACAAAATCCCTACTGGAACTCACACTGTAGTGGAGCAGCATTGCACTGCATCTAAAGAAGGTCTATGGCTAATGCCATAACGTAGCCCTCAACTTGTTACTCACACACCAAAGGTACTTCACAAATACACAGCTGGAAGGTATTATTTTATGTGGCGGGAAAGTCTGAAAGAACAAAATATATTGGGTACTTCTGGGTGTTTTGTATTCTTTTCCTTCTTTGCCTTTGTTATGAGTGTTTTGTAAGCTTTCCTCTCATCTCTCTTGAAAACAAACACCATCTCAGCTGACAAGCAAGAGTGTGCTCAACATCAGATGTATTCAGTAGCATTAGAACTGGAGTCCACTGAAACTTAAGGATCCAGCAGGGGGCCACAGTGTCCTGGTATACGCAGGACCAGACTAAGGTTTCCAAAGAGGCAGAGGTGGATGGGACACACCTGGCAGACTTGGCACTCTGTCTAAATGGAAAAACTTAAGGCCACATCAGGAGTTCTTTCTTTCACTAAATTTTTCAGACACAGGTAAGTACTGAGTTTGTGAGTTGAACTGTTAACATGCTTAATTGGTGTATAACCTTTCCCTCGTGTATAACTTATCCACTGTTGCAATGAAAAATTGTTGCGAGCAGGGCCGGCTCTAGGATTTTTGCCGCCCTAGGCAAAAACAATTTTGGCTGCCCCTCCCCTCCGTTTTTTAATTACCCCGGCCCCGCCTCAACTCCGCCCCTTCCCTGCCTCCTTCCCTCAGGCTCTCAAGCCTAGGAGGGAGGGGGAGAAGTGGCGCCCGCGCCGCGGCCACTCGGAGTCTCCCCCTCCCTCCCAGGTTTCAGAGCCTGGGAGGGAGGGGGAGACTCCGAGTGGCGGCGGCGCGCGAAACGGCTGTTTTGCGCGCCGCGGCCGCTCAGGATCTCCCCCTCCGTCCCAGGTTTGAGAGCCTGGGAGGGAGGGGGAGACTCCGAGTGGCCGCGGCGCGGGCGCCGCTTCTCCCCCTCCCTCCCAGGCTCTCAAGTCTGGGAGGGAGGGGAAGCAGCGGCGCGCGAAACGGCCGCTCGGGATCTCCCCCTCCCTCCCAGGTTTGAGAGCCTGGGAGGGAGGGCGAGTAGTGGCATGCGAATCCACTGTTTCGCGCGCCGTGGCGCGCGAGCGGCAGCGGAGGTGAGCTAGGGTGGCCGGGGCACATTTTTAGGGGCGGCATTATGGCGCCGGCCATGCCGCCCCTAAAAATGTGCCGCCCCAAGCACCAGCTTGTTTTGCTGGTGCCTAGAGCCGGCCCTGGTTGTGAGTTACTAATTCACACTAGGTAACTTCTAGTTTTAAAACTATCAGAACGATGCAGACTTGACAGCATTCATTATTGGGTTCAATACCAGGGTAACTGGGTGACATTTATGGCCTGTGATATACAGGTCAGATTAGATGATCTAATGGTCCCTTCTGACCTTGAGCGCTATGAAAATATTCAGTACAGGAAGGAGTTATGTAAAAAGTGTATTAGGACCTTCTCCTAAAGGTGAATTTCAAGAGATCTGAAGGTGAAGAGTCTTTAAAATTCTAGGACTGCAAAGGTGAAAGACATATGGGGTGTGAACAGCATTCAGTCTTGATTAGAAACCTGTCTGTGCTGATTTGTAAATTAGCACTTACACTGGACTATACACTACTGTTTATGTAATATGCAAGTTATATGTTCTCATAATTGCTTACGCGGTAATTGTCCCTTAAACAGTTAAACCAATATTAAGAGTTTAAGTTTTGTCTTTACAGTAAACTTATTTTCATATGCTTCAATCGACCTGCCCAAAATCAAGCCCCTATGCCCCAACCACTAATTCTTCCAGATGAAGGATAATGGGCACCATTGCCCCACAAGGCTGAGCAGGTTGTCTCCCATCCCCAGAGGTTTTAGGAAGTAAAAAACGTAGCCAGTTGGGCATCCCGCTGAGCAATGCTAAGAGTGACCAGGAAACAACTGGGCAAGCCAGTTCATTATTTATAGAGCTGATAGAAATTATTTTGATCTTGAAATTAGTTTTTGTCAAAAGGGGAACTCGTTTCATGAAATTTCTTTCCTGGTTTTTGATCAGCTCTAGTCATTTCTATTGCAATCACAACCCCCCATGATATTGCTATTAAAATCTTACTCTGCCATGGAGTTTCTCATTCAGTTTGGGCTCTCTGTGCTCACTTCTCTTCACTTTTAGCCACTGTACCAAAGGCTTGATTGTCAAACCCTAGATAACAAGACATTAATAAAAATTTTAAAATCATCTTACAAAGAATATAAATTTACTCTCAGTCTGTTCTGAAATGCGGACACGTTAAGAACATTATAATCTATCTGAGCCAGTTCCTTAGCTGGTGTCAGTCACCTTAGTTCCACTTAAGTAAATGTTGATTTATTTATCCAAAAATTGTGATTTCATGTAGAATTATGTTTTTTCTATTCCTTTTTTATACCTTTTAAAAACATGCATCAGAGTGCGTATGGTAAAGCAGTTTAATATTTGTAATTACCAGTAAAAAGACTGCTTCCCTTGGTTATTCAACTGAGGGGAAGGATACCCATTCAAATATTAACCTGAGCGCTATTAATACACTGCAGTTGTTAAGGCTGAACATTTTTTAGCACACAGCAAATTGTGTTTTGTCCCCTGTGGTGCCACGTGAAAACATAAAATGGGATCTTTGCTACTAAAATTACAAAGCCAATTATGTTTTTGGCTCACTGAAACAGTACCTCACCTGCAGCTGAGAACTGCTTTAAATGGAGGGGCACGTCCATACCTTTTGGACCTCCTCCTCCTCTTTTTAAGAAGCAGAATCAATTAATTCAATTACCTGGAATATAACGGTAAAGAACACAACAATAATAGTTGTGCTGACAAATAGGTTTTTCTCTTTCACTTTTTTCTCATCCAGAAGTGCAACTAGAGCAAAAGCAACAGCTCCCCGTAGTCCACCATACGACATTACGACTTGGTCTATTATTTCCAGCTGGACCACCCTGTAGTGGTTTAGAACCCATGTCTGTATCACTACACCTATAAAAACAAAAGTCACAGGCTCACTGAAGTGTAACAGAAATGGATTAACCATCTTCCTTTAAAAACAAACTCTCTGTTACATTTATTACTCTCTTCCTTTCAGTAGGTTCTAAGGTCCTGCATCCTTGTGACCATCCCCCTCGCTTCCAACCAAAGGAAATGGATGCAGCTCTCTCCATCAATCAGCATCCCTGCTCTGAGTGTTGGCCAGACGGGTTAATTCAGGAGTGATATCCTTGCAGTGTGGGAACACTGGGTGAAATTCTGGCTCCACTGGGTATAGGGTGACCAGATGTCCCGATTTTATAGGGACAGTCCCGATATTTGGGGCTTTTTTCTTATATGGGCACCTATCACCCCGCACCCCCTGTCCCGATATTTCACCCTTTCTATCCGGTCACCCTAACTGGGTATGTCTACACAGCAAAGAAAAACCCGCAGCTGACTCGGGCTCACAGGGCTCGGGCTGAGGGGCTGTTTCATTGCTATGTAGACTTCAGGGCTCTGGCTGGAGCCTGAGCTCTGGGACCCTCCCACCCCTCCCATAACCATTGAAACTCCAGTGACTTCAGTGGGGCCAAGATTTCAACCTATATCTCTTCAGGTCTCCACTGCCACAATCCATAAGGACCCCATTTCACGCCCCTTGATGGCAACCCAATTCACTATTATATCATCAGGCTGGCCTCCTGGGTGGTGCTACTTGAAACGTAACAGAGGAAGAAGAGTAGAGCAGAATTTCCAGTGCAGTAAGAAATGATTTATGACATTTTACTCTGTTATTTTCAAGAAGACAGTGATGTTATAATGGTGTTGATTTCGGGAGGCAATGTGATACCATTAACATGTCATACTGCAGATTTTTTGACTGCATACCATTGTGTCTCGGGGGCTAAACTGTGGCATTACACCAGCACTCTACATTGGGGTCCTTGCAGAGATGTATCCCTCTGCAAGAGCTTGGGGGGGACTTGCAGATCAAGAAGGTACAATGCCTCATGGAGCTTCCAGCTGTGCAGAGGAAGTGAGTGCTGCATCATCCCATATAGGGGTGCACTCACTGTGTGCTCCCTTCTGTGGTAGGGCAGCAGAGGAAGGCATCCCTCCCCTTCTGTGCACTTCTCCCCAGGAGTAGTCCCTGTGCTCAGGAGTGCAGATTGTGACCCACGCCTGGTGGTGGGAGGGATCTTTGTAAAGAAATTCAGGTCACCACTGCGGTTCCTCCAGGAGAACATGAGCTGTAATTATGTAAGGCCCGACATCACCATATCTCCAGTGTTTTTAATCAACCATCTACTTTAATTATTTCACTGACACTTATTGTCATTGTTGATATTTTTAAATTTTATTTTGGCTATTGATGATGACTCTTACTGAGAGCCCCTGTGTATATTCCACCAATACAGCAACACCATTAGTTACCCAGGATTACGTCAAAAATGCTAACAGCCAAGGATGTAACAGTTTATTGAAGCGGCACACAATCCCGGTGGTTGCTGGGAGAGGTAGTTAATTAGACTATATCAGTTTGCTATGCAGAATGCTATCTGGAAGGACATAGGGTTAGACCCTCCACTCATGCGCCAGGAGGCTCCAACCAAAAAGGCAAGAGCAGCCATCTAACTATAGGGTTTTATTTGTATTTGCTTTGAACTCAAGTATTGGAGCCTTCACGAGCCAAGTTTTGTTTAATTCTTTTCCGGGTGTCTGTATGCAAATGTGAGCGTGTACATGCCGCTCAAGGAGTACTTTAGCATACTACATGGGTGTCTTTTTTTGCCACTTAACAAAGCAATGGTTAAATAGTACAGACTTGAATATAAGCTACACCCTAGTAAATTCATATTCATCATTTGGAATTTGACATATTTGAAAGTGAATCATTTATATAGTGCCAATAAAATGACAGCTAATCCCTGCTACTTTGCAGTACACCAAATGGGTGCAGTAGCACTGCCTCTCATTCTTTCTTTCTCACCAGCCATTGGAAATCACTTGCACCGTATACCAGTGAATATGAGCTATAATTGTGTTGGGCGTTACATCACCATGTCTCAAGCTTGAAGCCAAGCATAAAATTAGCTTAATATAATCTCTTAATTATAGAATTAAAAGAGCTAAGGGAAGAGGGAGGAGTAAAGAGATGGTTGACAAAAAATGCAAGTCTTTTGTTTAGGTAGAAGTTCTAAGCATAAAGTCCGTTCGATCTACAGATTTGCCAGTGCCAGCAAAATCCAGGAAATTAGTCCTTGGGTGACTCAGGTGTGCTACCTGACACAGCTTATTAAAACGGTCTATGATTCCAGCAAATGATGAAGCTTACTAAAGAATCTATTCTCCTACCCACCATCAGTAGTAATAACTTCAACTGAGATTACTGAGAACTAGGGGTGCATATCAAACAGCACAAGCCCCTAAATGCCATGATCCCGTATAGCATGAAAATACGTTTTGCATCAACACTGCAAAAATTGAATGACAGTTTTTCTTACCAATGACTCTGTACACTGAGATGAAGACCAAAGTCAATAGTATAAAAGCTGTGTTCCATGTCCAGATGTCTGGATTTACAGCTGAAATTCCCAGGAACATGAATATAATAGTCTCAGATCCACTTGCCAACATTTTCATGGTATACCTCACGGTGGTAGAAGACTGATCACAAATATTAGCCTTGACATATTTTTGACAGCAGACACCACAGAAAGTTATTCTGAAAAGAAACCCATCATTTCTTTGAATAATAATATTTGTTGCAACATATTTCTCTCTCTACTTTAGTTGCCAGACAGGGAAAAAAAGCTTCCAATTGTATTCTTGAAATAAATAAATGCATCTAAATGAATACTGTAGAGTTTGAACTATGAAGGAAAACATACCACAAACACCCACCCCCTAAGATAATGTTTAATTAGATCATAAAAAACTCCAGCTTCCTCTGCCTTTCAACTTTCCAGACTATTTCACAGTCAATACTTTAAAGCTTACATTAGATATAAACCTAAGTTGACATTTGCAGTAGGTTTTTCAGATCTTGAAAATACTGGTTATGGTGTTGCTCTGGTTGAGAGCCTGTGAAACAGAAGAGGCTAATAACAACTGAAAGTGAGTAGGCAAAACTGAGATGGACGGTATGCTCAGAACCAACATACAGCAGAGGGGAAAGATCACACTGGGATTCAGTACAGGGCAGGCAAATTTACTCTGCCTATCCTGATACCTAGTTAGCTGATTGCCAGGGAATTGGCCATATGGAGAAAGTTTAAAAGAATAATATAAAATTTGGCAGTTTAAAATCTGTAAGCGGAGAGCGCAGCGTGTCAGAGCAATACTCTCCTTTGTCTCATGCTTGAGAAAATGTTTGTGTTAATCACAAATTCTGTGGCAGAATGAAAATTTGAATTTCTATGCAGTTATGATCAAAGCACTAGCATTCATATATGGGACCAACAAATAAGTATATTCTACAATAAGGACCATCATGCTGCAAAGCGGACCCTGGAAACCTCACTCCTTTTCAAAGCTGTATTTTAGATCTGTAACCCATTGCTTACTTATGATCATGATTTTAAGAACAGGTCCTCATTTTTTTATGTGTAGTATTCTCTAGTTTTCCTCTGTGCTTTAAATCTAACATTTCATTGGCTTTAAAAACCACACTCCATCTCCAGCACTGCCAGGGAGAACAATAAAATAAAAGACTTACGCAAGGATGGCAGAAAGAGAAAGCATCTCTGCTGTGAGGTAGGACAGGTATGAGATCACAAACACAAATCCAGGTTCAATGATTCTGACATGCTTGGTGAAGCGAGTGACCAGCGAGAGCAGGAACGCAAAGACAATGCCAACAAATGTTCCACCCAGGCTCACCACAAAGAAAGACACTGAAACAAGGAAATGCAAATTATACTGATTTAAAAAGAAAATCAATACCTTCTAACTGGCTTAATTATTACTGGCTCTCCTATCAAATGGTTAACGATGTTGGGGGATGGTACTAGACCCCCATCTTTCTGAGACATAATTCAGCTACCTAAAAAAACCCCCTAAACACATATTTATCACTTTTGAATGCTTTGTATATATATGGAATTCTCAACCTTTTCAGGGAAACACATGGTTTTATTGTTAGAGGTCACCACAGTGAGATTGCTCAAAAGCCAAGAGTTTTCCCCAAACAAATTTCCCCATTACGCCATAAAGACAAATTTTCCCCAGACCACATACAAAATTATATGCCTGGGTCACCATTAACACAGTGGTACATAAAATGATACAGTGTTTCCCTATGCTTAGAATGCGAAAGAACTGCAACATCTTAGACAACATTGCTTGGTAACCACTGTCAAATCCTGATTACTTAAAACAGATGGGGAATATATATCTATATAACCCTTTAACTACAATGCTGCGGCTACAAAAGTCCTCCTACTAGAGCAGGGGTCGGCAACCTATGGCATGCGTGCCAAAGATGGCATGCGAGCCGATTTTTAATGGCACGCTGCTGCCTGCCGGAGCAGCGTGCCATTAAAAATCCTGGTCAGCCCAGCCCGGCCCGCTCTTCTCCACCCCCGCGGGGGCAGGGGGCAGAAGCATAGGCGTGCGCATAGGGTGTACCCAGGCACACCCTAATGCAGGGCTGGGCAAATGGCCCCACTCTTCTGGTGCGGCAAGCTGCGGGGTCCGCGCTCCCGAGCCAGAGCGCCGGGCCGAGCGCAGCAAGCCGCCGGCCCCTCCCCCACCTTCCCCCCTCCCCTGGAGCCATGCCGCCATGCGCACAGCACTCTGAGGGGCGGGGCTGCCCGCTTCTGCGGGGCAGCATGTCTGGCTGTGCGCGGAGCAGAACATGCTGCTAGGAGCCTCATGGTAAGGGGGCCGGGGCCGGGTGGGGGGGGGGGTTGGATAAGGGGTGGGGGCAGTCAGGGGACAGGGAGCAGGGGGGGTTGGATAGGGGCTGGGATCCCGGGTGGGGTGATTGGGGCGGGGGGGTCTCTGGAGGGGGCAGTCAGGGAGCAGGGGAGGTTGGATGGGGCATGGGAGTCCCGGGGTCTGCAGAGAAGACGCGGGGGCAGGGCCTTGGGGAAGGGGGGCTAGGTGGAATAGGGGCACACACACCCCAGTCCCCTGCCCTGACCCCCCCACACACACCCAGCCCACTGCCCTGAGCCCTGACCCCCCCACATACACCCAGCCCTCTGCCCTGAGCCCTGACCCCCCCTACATACACCCAGCCCTCTGCCCTGACGCCCCCCCACACACACCCAGCCCTCTGCCCTGAGCCCCGCAGCCCCGCACACCCCCCAGACCCGTGTCCTGAGCCCCACAGCGCCGCACAACCCCAGGCCCGTGCCCTGAGCCCTGTGCCCCGTACACCCCCCAGACCCCTGCCCTGTACCCCCCTCATACACACCCAGCCCTCTGCTTGACTCCTTCACCCCCCCCATGACCCCAGCCCTGACTCTGGCACCCCCACACATACCCAGTCCCCCCTGCCCTGACACCTGCACCACCCTCACATGCCCCCAGCCCTCTGCCCTGACTCTTGCACCCCCCCACAAACCCAGCCCCCCCCACGCCCCATACACCACCCCCCATCCTGACTCTTGCACCCCCCACATCCCCACCCCCACCCTGAACACCAAATGGGAGCTCCTGCACACACACACCCCAAATTCCCACCTTCACCCCTCGCACCAAATGGGAGCTGCCCAGCTAAGTGCCCCACACCCTATCCTCCTGCCCCAACCCTGAGCCCCCTCCCTCATTTTAGCTCCTGGCCAGACCCTTCGCCCCCAGCCCTGTGCTCAGTGCACTCCCACCCTCAGCTCAGTGCAGAGAGAGGAAGAGAATGGGACAGAACCAGGGAGAAGGTAGGTACCCACTGTATGTGGGCAGGGCCGGGACCCCAGACCGGCAGCAGGCCAAGCAGGTCTGGCAGCCGGGATCTCGGCTGGCAGGAGCCGGCGGATGGAACCCCTGAGCAGCAGTGGGCTGAGCCGCTCAGCCTACTGCTGGTCTGGGGTCCTGGCCGCCGGCCCCGCACAGCCCGCTGCTGGTCTCAGATTCTGGCTACCAGACCCTTGCCAGCCGGAGTCCCGGCCGCAGGCCCCGCTCAGCCCGCCGCCAGCCTAGGTGAACAGAACCCCAGACCAGCAGTGGGCTGAGCGGGCCAGCAGCGTAAGATCAACATTTTAATTTAATTTTAAATGAAGCTTCTTAAACATTTTGAAATCCTTGTTTATTTTACAACACTAGTTTAGTTATATAATATATAGACTTATAGAGAGAGACCTTCTAAAAAACATTAAAATGTATTACCGGCACGCAAAACCTTAAATTAAAGTGAATAAATGAAGACTCGGCACACCACTTCTGAAAGGTTGCCGACCCCTGTACTAGAGGAAAGGAGTGGGTTACAGCCAGGGCCGTCCCTAACCATTTGGGTGCCCTATGCAGCCCCCCCACTGGGGGGCTGTGTGGGGCCCCAGGCCTCCCCCCCCAGGGTCTGGGAGACAGAAGCTGTGGGGGCCACTTTTGGGGGGCCCACAGGCCCAGAGTGGCCCGGGGGATTAGTGGGGGGCTGAGAGCAGCCCACTCCGCATCCTTCGCCCCGGCCCCAGCTGTGTCGCTCAGGGGAAGGGTCTTGGGGAAAGGGATCCCCCACCACTCACCGGCAGCGGCAGGAAGCAGAGCAGCCCGGCTCCAGCCCGCTCTACTCCACCAGCTCCCAGCCATGGTGCTCTGATTCCCGCCGCCGGTGAGAGCCGGGGGCAGTCCTTTCCCCAACCCGAGCGACATGGCTGGGGCTGGGGCAAGGGAAGCGGAGCGGGCTGGGACCGCCTCTCTCCGCTTCCTGCCGCCAGTGAGTGCGGGGAGCGATCCTTCCCCTAACCCCCGCACTCACCGGCAGCGGGAAGCGGAGCGCCGTGGTTGGGAGCTGGCAGAGTAGAGCAGGCTGGGGCTGGGTTGCTCCACTTCCCGCCGCTGCCGGTGAGTGCAGGGTCGCTGGGGGAAGAGGTGGAATGGGGGTGGGCCGGGGGCGGTTAAGGAGGAAGGGCAGTTAAGGTGCTAGGGCTACCCCCACTTGCCCTGAGAGAAGTGGCCAACACAGACTGCAGTTTGCCCCAGAGCAAGGGACTAGACTGGTGACTGCAGCAGGCCACCAAGGTGAGTGGCTGGACTATAGACTGCCGGTTCCCCCAAAAGCGGGAGAGACAGTGGAGCGGGGCACAGCGAGCGAGACACCACCGGAGGAGGGCGCCCTGTGGAAGGACTTGAACTAATTCCAGAACGGCCAGCAGGAGGTGTTGCAGTGGTGGGTCCCACACTGCTACAAAAGGCCATACGCTGACAGGGTTACAATGATTTATTATTACAATCCTGCAGACTTTTATCAACGATTAACGTATAATTAAATTGTACGCACCAATGCCTTTTACGCAGTCCACCCCAGTCACGTTATCAGCTCCCATTGCAACGAAAGAGTCGAACACATTGTACAGCACCTAAAAAGAAAAGTAGCTTCTCTTAGCATTTGTTCCTGAATCAAGCCAATTAAAATCATCACATGTATGGGTCTGTAAATCCTGAAATTTTGTTAGACTGAGGTAAAAAAAATCCATTTATTTTGAAGCAGCAAACTGTTTAGAGAATACATAATCAAATAGCAAGAGGCCAAAATATGATAAAAATGAAATCTGTAGAATATATCTATCTGAAAAACTGGCTGTTTTGTCTGCCAGTGTGTCCAAGGGTCTTCCATAGAGCCTATCACTGTAGCAGCAAAGTGATTGATGGAAGTTTTTTTAAAGAAGGTATGGATAGTAAAGAAAGATGAAGAAAAGTGAGAATCATGATAAATGGATTATAATTATCATTTTAGCACAGAGGGTGATTTGTGGGTTAAAAAAATATTTTAAGTTTTCTGCATCCAAAAGGGAGTGGATAGGCAAAATAAAGCACCAAGAAATTAAAAGCAAAATAATTTGATTATCAAATCATCTCTTCGATATAGTGTTTATTTAATTAAAATGTACCCTGGAACAAAGAGCAGAATTCTACTTTGGTAAGCACCAAATGGGTCTTCCGGGCAAAAATTAAACACCGTGCTTTGGAAATTGAGGATAATATTTGGGGAATTATGATAACACTTTCATTGCTACAGGAACAGGGCTAGTAAGGAGATGTTACAGAAATAACTTGAGTTAGCTAGGCTGTATTATAAGTCTCTTATTCCTCTACATTGTAGTCCTCAGAGATATTTATAGATATCCAACTGCTGACCACAGTATTGCAACTCCAAGTATTCAAAAATCATGAGATTTTTAAAAACAATGCATTTTAAGTTCTGTTTATATGCTTTTTGGTTTCTGGGACTTTACAAAGCACTGGGGTCACATTTTAAAACTTTTCCCTGAAACCATCAGGTCGAGAAACATTTTAAAAAATGAAAGTTGAGATTCCTTTGGGATTCTCTGGATTCCCAGAGCTGGGGCTTTAAGAAAAATACCCCACGCTGCAAGACTCGCAATAAAATCAGAAGAGCTGGTAACACTGCAACTTTTGTCATCTGATAAATGAATGTCACTGAGAAGCAACATTGTCAGTAATGACCGTGGAAGCAATCAGATAAATAGTGATGAAAGTTGGAAAGGCCAAGATGACATAAACAAAGAAGGTATGTGAGAGGTGTACATAGATTAAGAGCATATGCAAAATTGGACAAAATGAATACAAGCAGTTCAAAGAACTAGCAGAGGATATCCCAAAACTTCAGGAAATAAATTTAGTAAAACATGATAGTCATGATGACTAGAAATGGCAAATAAAGTATTTGTACCAGAAACCTCATTTTAAGAGTTATATGTATCCAACCAGGGAATAGGAACATACTATGCGACCTGCATGCCCTCTTCGTATCAGATAATTAATACTTGCAACAAAATGTCTGCAAACAAGGAAGACAAGCTAGTAGAACTTGTGTGTGGTAGCTGACACATGAGCAGATAGCCACAGACAGTACGCTACTTTATTCCATGGTGGATATATTAGTTCAGAATAAACCCTCCAGAATTGGGGTGATTCTTGGATATGAAATCCTCTTACCACAGTTACAGCATCGTTCAGCAGAGATTCCCCAAAAACGATAATAAACAGAACTTCATTGACATGAACTTCTTCAAACACAGCCAGTACAGCCACAGGGTCCACTGCAGCTATCAGGCTGCCAAACAGAAGGAAGTCCAGCAGCCCAATGTCGAGCTGGCCTAGGAAAACAAAACAAAAAGGTACAGATATGTAAAACCACCAGCAAGATGATTCTCCTTATGGTCCTGAAGCAACCAGCCCCAAATTAGTAGCACACTCTTTACATTACAGGCCAAATTCTGCTCTCACTTACTTACAATCAGTTCAAGGGAGTTACACCTATGTAATTAAGTGCAGAATTTGTCCTCAAAGCACATTTCTGGACTCCTTATTCAGACAAAACTCCCACTGAAGCAAAAGTGAATTTTGTGTGAGTAAGCAGCCCACGGTTGGGCACCCGCAAGAAAATTGATTATGGTATCAGACTAACTCAACATTTATTTCAGTATTTTTGTTCTCATCTAGGAGATTAACTTCATTTAGTTCTTCTATAAAAGCACTTTAATTTCATGCTGAACAATGGTTCCAGATTGATAGCCCTGGAAGCAGATAGCCTCGGAGTGTATCCACAGGACAGGGAACAGTAATGCAAGCATCTCAAACGGGAAGGTCGGCAGAATATAGGAGACCCTTAGAAATTACAAACACATGCATTTTAAAATGAAATATTTAAAAATAATTTCCTCCTTCACTTACTTGCCAAGCTGTGAGGCCACAGTTTTATTGATGATGTCACTAGCACTTCATCCATGCAGGGAGCCAAGTCATGTTTGATGACTCACTGTTTAAAAAGCCAAGTCGCCTGCTAGCCTAGAGAGACTGGAAATGTTGCCCAGGCAGGTGGACTGACAAGCAATTGGTTCCTTCCCGGCAGAGCAAGGAAGACCAACGGAGCAGAGCAACCCTGGTCCTTCATAGGAGGTAAGGAGGTGGCCAGGAAGCAGAGGAGCCCCCTGAAGTGCTCCTCTTTCTCAGGAGGGGAGGGAGAGGCAGAGTGTGGAGTGGCAGAGCCAACTGCTCTTTGCAGATGGCAGGAGAGGAGCAGGAAAAAAGTGTGGCACACGCACTTTTCCTTAAAGAGGAAGGGAGAGGCGCAGAGAAGCTGACATTCCTGCTAAGGGTCTCCTGGCACATCCCAGAACCCTGCAGCTCCAGAGAAGTTGTACAAACGGATATGGAGTCCCATTCATTTATCTGGGGCTCAGAATTCATTAATGGGCAGAGGAAGGCACCTGAATTAATTAATGGGAGTCGGGCAGGGGGCAGTATTTATTAACTACAGGGAGTTCAAAATTCGTGAAGGGTGGGGGAAGTAGGGAAGAGCCCAGAATCCATTTATCGAAAGGGATGGTGGAGAGCCCCATTTTATTAATTGGTGTACGTGTGCACCAGAAGTTATTTTGCTTTGGGGTGAGGGGGACAGAACTGACGTATTGATTTGGGAGTAACAGTTTGGTAATGAACATTGAAGAGCTGTGGCCTTGGTGTGGCATTGTTTGTAGCATGGCAGTGTGGGCACACTTCCCCCAGGCTCATAGGCTCTCTCCTTCTGGTGAGTATGTGTGGAGGTAACTTTTCAAGTCCAGAGTACTTAGGGATTGGCAGGTAAGTGAAGGAGGAACTGACTTTCAAATGTTTGTTACAAAATGCATGGAGCTATTCACTCAGGAGGAGGACCCAAAATTGGAGGCTGGGTAGAGGACCAGACACAACCCACCCCCATCTGGCAGCAGCAAATAAGATGGGAGAGGAATAGACACCATCTCTCCGTCCCATCACCAACAAGCAGGATAATATCATTTTCTGTAAAGCTGACAAGGATTACAGGAACAGAGACATTCCTGGTTTTCAGAAGCACATAGTTACTCTATTTATTTATAAAACAGAGACAGTCATCTTCATTCACATTTATATAGAGTGGTGGTGAGCAGGGGCGGGGGGCAGGTCACAGTCAGGTTGCGGGGGGTGCTTGAGTGATTGGGAAGCAGGGTGGCATCAGTGGCAAAATATTTTCAGGCCTGGCAGGCAGAAAATTCTGAAGCTGGCCCTGCACCTGACTCCAAATAAAGATTCCGTAACATTCTTACCCTCCTTGCTGTGTTTAAGGAAGAGATAGTTCAATGGCAATAACTATGGATATCATGACACTGTAAGACAAATGCCTTTAAAATGAATTGGCTCACCTACATCTCTTATCTGTTTTATATGTTACCAATTATGATTGCTGCTACATTCTTTAAGAACTTCCAAAAGCTAGTGAGCAAATACTGATGGGAAGGTTAGGGTGCATCTATAAATATTACAAAATAGTGTCAAGAGAGGTGGGATTGCTAAACCTGAGTTTTACTTAGGCTATTAAACCTACCACCCATACCCTCTAATTCAATGCGCTGCCACTAAAGAATTATAGAACAATTTTCACTCTGGAAGTCACCTGGAAACTATGACCTTGTCTACATTGCTAAACTTCATAACTGGAATTCATTAAGTGGGAATTCACTGTCCGTGTAGTTCCACCAGTAATAGCAACAGTGTGAGTGCTAGTTTTATGATTGGGGGGGAAACAGTCAGCATGACTTGGGATTGGTTTTCCTTTTTTCCCTTGTGAATGTGGAAGGGTGACAGTGAGCATTAGTTTAACATTTAAGTTATGTTTCTTCCAAATATACTTTTAAAGTAGCATTTCCTTTTCATTATTATTTTGATCTTCTTGCCTGTTCTATACTTTTCTTCTGCAAATTGTACAAGTTCTAACTAAGGACACTGAATATCATATTTAACAGGTGTTTCCACTCATTTAAATTGAAATCTATGTAATCCAGTTTAGGTGAACTGCTCTCAGAGTGGGGAATAGATCAGAGTTAATCAATTACTAATTCCATCTGTCAATGGAGTTGGAAGAAACATATAATCTGTTTGTTGCTTTTATCACAACTATGTCTTCAATGGATATACATCCATACATTCAGTGATATTAAACTTTCATCTTTGTTCGCCTGAATAATAAAATTTGAAGTAAAAACAAACAAAATAACAACCCTGCAATACTCCCAGGCACCTACTCTCCAGAGGATGACATGAAAAGTAAAATCCCCAAACTGGCTCCAAGAACTAAGAAGAATCCCAGTACCCTTCCTCTCCCAGCAGCCAGAGTGGGAGAGTTGGGTTTCTCTGTAGCTACTGTACCCAGACTTTTCTCCCTTCTTATATATCAGCATGTGGCTATTAGATTTAATCCTTTGGTTAGCTGGTATCATGTAAGCTTTTCAAGTCCTACTTATCTCTGTTTGCAAGTGACATAGTTTGAATCAGGGACAAGCTTCTCTGGCCTTTTCCATAATTGCGATTAGAGCTGAAAAAGAATCTAATAGGTCATAATACATCATCCTGTCAGCTAAATATGGTGCATACAGTGTATTATCTAGTTCTTTGTGCAGTCTCCTTTTAAATGTTTTAAGCAATCAGGCTCATCCATTTACAGATGACTGTGATGCATATGCTATTGCAGGCTGTAGGAGTGTCAAACCTATTCAACAGAAGGAGCTGAGTCCCATTTTTAACTGTGATTTAAGGGTTGTGGAATACATTTATGACTATACAACCTACCCTCAGTCCACAGTGGAATTCCCATTGCTGTCAATGAGAGTTTGCACAAAGATAAAGGGGAAAATATGGCCTTTATATTGTAACTCGATTTTAGTTATTGAAGCTAGTTAAAATTTTGGAACATATTTGGGGCGGGGGGTTGGGAGGAAGGGTGCCGAAAATGGCCTTTTATTTAAAACAAACTTTTGTCTTAAATGTTTCCTTTTCCCCAAAATTTTCCATATTTTTAATTGCATTTGCTGAACATTTATCCACATTTTTCATTAACAAAGTCATTTTTATAACATTTTCAAAACAAATTTTGATTAAAAATGTCAGGACTCTTTTTATTTAACTGGTCTGTTACAAGCCCTGCAAAATGGAAATAATTTTGACATTTCAAAATGTTTAATGATTTGTAAAAAATTACTTGTTCTAGTTATCAATCTTATTTTTTATTTAGTCATCATCTTATTGTCCCATTCAGCATTACTCATTGGGGAAATATTCTGATAAGTAAGACTACAACCATTTCTGCCCGTTTTTTCACTTCCTTTCCCATCCTTCTTTTGCTTCCCCCCCCCCCCTACTTTCTTTGGGTGTCTCTTCTGTTCGTCCCTCTGCATTTCCTTCCCTGCAGCAGCTCCCCATTCCCATCTTGGTGTGGACTTAAATCCCAACCCCTTCACCATCCCAGTGCCTACAATGAGCATCAATTAAAAATTAATTATGACATTTAAAGTATCATCATTACGCTTTATAGATAGTTACACCTCATTGAGGGTAATAGAGGGCAACAGGGTAGTTCACAGCTCTTGAGTCATTGTTTCAAACTCAGAAAGACAACCCTGCCTGGGTGATGCTCTGATCACATTGGAATCAAGCACAATCACGAGGGTTTAGAAGCTTTCTTGAAAAAGAGAAAAATAAGCGATGATTCTTTAGCATGTGAACATAGGCCATACAAGACACACAAATATATTAAGTGGGCCAGATCTGACCTATGGGCCAGAGGTCTGACAACACTGCTTGATATATATTCTATTTGTAGGCCTCCAGCCACTAAAGGGTAATCCTATCACAAATAATTACAGGACTGGATCAAGTCACATTCTATCCAGTACAGGTATAAGGTATCTCACATGCTAGCCAGTATGTTACAGCCACTCCCACAGCTATCTTCAGGTGCAAAAATAAACCAATTTTGTTTACATGGGAGTGTAGGTCTACTGCAAAACAAGGTAAGGCAATCTCATCCATTTAACTTCACAATAATGCCTTTTTTTAAGCAGCAGCATTAAACCTTAGCACAAACACCCAGAACAATACTATGCAAGTGAGAAATGGTCATCAGGCTTACAAATCCTAGCAACATGGCTGCCTAGCTTTACTGTAACCTCAGAAGCCAGTGTAAACTTGTCAGAGTGCTAATCCAAGTTTTCAATAAATACATGGAACCAGATCCTTAGAGGCAACAAATTCCTTCCTTCCAGCTCTCCTTTGCAAGGAACATCTTTTTCTCAGAGGTTGCCAGATCACCATACAGACAATGGAAGTTTTCTTGTGTTCATTTGCCCTCTGCTTATCTCTGCTTCACAAAGTTAAGGCACTGAGGTGAGCAAAAGTACATTCTTCCAAACAATCAAAACTATGAACCTGTTCTTACAGAAGGACTTTCTTGCTGCAGAAAGCTATCACTTTTGGCACTCAGACACCATAGTGATAAGCACTAGAGACACACTAGATTAAATAAAGTACAGAGAAATTAGAGAAAACAGATCCTGACCAACTTTAAAAGCCTTGAAAGGTACACAGATTTCACATTTGATTAAAAATGGTAAGGCAAATTATATCTCAGCCAAATTAAAAAAAAAACCCAAATCTCAAATTTTGCAGGTGCAAAATTGTTGATTCAATCAATTGTGCCTATAAACTTAAAAAAATTGAGGTCCTACTCTGTTAGACCTCTAGGTAGGATTTTCAAAGCTATGCAGGGAATGAAGCCACATGTTTTCCATTAAATTTAATGGAAAATAAGTAGCTAAATCCCAGGCACTACTTTAAAAATCGGAACCCAAAAATTACTGTTATTTCACCTGTAATGGATGGTGGGAGCAACCTTTGAGGCTATTTCTGACCCTTTATGTTTAATCATGGTCTGTTCCTTCATGGCAGATTTTTCCCTCTCTAGAATCAGAGTTCACTTTAGAAGTTATTTAGTGGAGTAACAATATTGGGTCAGATTGCCTCTGTTTGCTCCTCTGTGAGTGCATTCGGAAACCACCCGCACTACCCCTTTTGCACCTGAGCAGAAGGCTTCCAGAATCATGGTGCTTGAGTTCCATGAGTAATAGGTACTAGAAAGTCATAGTACAGGTAGATGTGCTACACACCCTGGAGGAGACATATCTGAACAGCAGTGCAGCCACGACTCCATTCCCCCTTGTGGTCTTCTGATTTGCTGGCGTTGAGTTGCTAGTGGTCCAAACCTGGTGCTACTACTACACCTCCCCAAAAAGATGTAACAGCTGTTGCTATGTATGCTTCTCATATCACCTCAGAGACATTACGCATTCATCAGTACTACATAGGCAGAATGCCCCTTGCAAATGCCACTTGGTATTACAGGTCTTCAATCTTACTCTAGCAGGGTGGTTTTTAGCTTTAAATGTTGAAACAATGACCTATTATATAAATACACTTAGAGGGCCCTTGCTTAATTAATACTAGAGCTGAGTGGAGGACAATTCTGTTTCGCAGCAACTTTTGAGATTCGTTCTGCACTGGAACGAAAAAAACCACTTTTGGAATATTTCTGTTAACATAGAATTGTGTCAAAACATGTGTTTTTTGGCTTGAAACCCGAGCTTTTCAGGTGTGTAGGTAAGTAGGGTGGTGTGTGTCTCCTGCAAGGTTGGAGAACCAGGTTCAAGTCCCTGCTCTGTCCACTCTGAAGTTTCATTTACCTGAAAATGTTCCAACCAGCTCTAGTTAATACTTGGTGTTTTTCTGTGGGAAAGAGTTATCTGTAATGCAACACTAATGTACCAGCCAGTACCCATTTTAATTAGCAATGACTCTTGAGAATCAGACTTACCCATTATTCCACTCAGGTAAACACCATAGAGAGACATGCCTGTTGTGGCAGCATTCCATACAGTCCCAATTACAGCATACAGAAGGATGGTACCAAGATTTCCAAAAAACAATTTGTTTGGCATGAAGTATCCAGCATCTAAGACAATGGGTGGCAGCAGGTAGAAGAAAAATACATTTGGTGTAAGGGTGAAGGAGGCAATGTGGTCTGCAGCCCACACGATACCGCCCAGAAAGAGGCCAAGGACAATCAGCAGAGCGCTCTCTGGAACCACGCGGGTGACTTTGTGGGACAAGTGGAAAACTGCAAAGAAAGAGAAAAAATGTGAAAGAATCAAAATGCAAACATAATTTGGTTGATATTACAGCTGTTGTTAGTAGGGCTGGTTCTAGATAAGAAAGTGTTAGATAAGAAAGGAACTGAGAGGAAAGGAGAATGAGACCAGATCTCTGAGCTAGGATGGAACAAGATAAATGGGAGATACTAGAGATGTTTGGCAATGAAGTACTGTTAAGGGAATCTCAGCAATTCAATTTTGCAGGAGTTTATGTGAACCTTTGCTTCAGTTTGGCTTAACAGTGGATGTGCACCCCTGACTCAAGGACTACTTGTGATCCTAACCCATGCTGAGTACAGCTGAGCTCATATATAGTTTTGCACTGAAAGACTGAATTTCACTTTCATCTGAAACTCAATCAAAACCACTGAGTTTCTCGTGATGTTAATATCAACCTATAACTCTGCTCAACTAGCACACAACTGGGCCCAAGATTGCTGAAAATTAGTCCAGAAAACAAACAGTCAGGACTCCATGTTTTAAGATGTATTGAAAAATCTTCCCTCATCACCTTGCAGAGGTACACAATGATTGGTGACATGATTGTAACAATGATAGAGGCCAGCCTATACCAGTGCTCCCACCATGGCTAACACCAGTGTAGATGCACTCGCACTAGTGTAGGGTTACCATATTTTAATACTCCAAAAAGAGGACACTCCACGGGGCCCCGACCCCGCCCCAACTCCGGCCCTTCCCCAGAGTCCCTGCCCCAACTCCGCCCCCTCCCCTAAACGCTCCACCCCCCTGCTCCTCCCCCTCCCCTGCTTCCCGCGAATCAAATGTTCGCGGGAAGCCTGAAACAGGCAGGCAGGCAGGCAGCAGGTAAGCTGGGGCGGTGGCGGGGGGGGGGGGGGGGGGGGGGGGGGGGGGGTGAGGAGGCGCGGCCCAGTCTGGCCCCCCCGGCCGAGCGGCTCCCTCCGGCGGCCGGCCCCGGCCAAGAGGCTCTGGCCCCGGCGTCTCCAGCCCGGCTTGGCTCGGCTCGGGCCCTGGGGCGCCGGCCCCGGTTCTGGCCGAGCGCGCCGGCCCCAGCCGAGCGGCTCCGGCCCCGGCCCTAGCGACTCCAGCTCGGCTCGGGCCCCAGGGCACCGGCCCCGGCCCCGGCCCTGGCCGAGCGGCGCCGGCCAGTGGCCGAGCACCCCCAGCCCCGGTCCCAGCGGCTCCAGCCCGGCTCGGCTCGGCTCGGGCCCTGGTTCTGGTCAAGTGGCCCCGGCCCTGGCTGAGCAGCGCCGGCCACCGGCCAAGCACCGCCGGCCCCAGCGGCTCCGGCTCCGGCCCCAGCGGCTCCAGCCCGGACCCAAGCCCCACAACCCCTCCCTATTTTCCCAGACATGTCCGGCTTTTTGGAATTTCCTCCCAGACGGGGATTTGAGGACCAAAAAGCCAGACATGTCCGGGAAAATCCGGACGTATGGTAACTCTACACTAGTGTAACAATGGCAGAGGTCCCTAAAGTTTCCAGGGTAGGCCTGTGAAATAGACCAAGTTGTAACATTTTGCTTCTGGCTGTGTGAATGACCCCAAACCAGGTTAAAACTGGATTAAGGTGACAACACTGGGAGAAGGAGGCAAACTGTGTTCAATAAACATTCTGAAACACAGTCAGTTTTGAGGAGCATCTGGGCCATTAATTCTACAGCTGGAAAGTACCTTCCACAACCTGAGTAATCCAATAAAGAAAACCAGTGTCCCTCCCAGTTAGCATCTTCTCTTTGTTATGAAGGCTGCACTGCCTCAGATTGTTTTGGGTCCCTGAAAACCATTGTTCTGTTTACAAACCATGGCATTCAGGTTTTCAAAGGGGTTTTTTTTTTTTTTTTGGTGGTCATTCCCTCCATTCCTTGCATCTCCAGTCAGTAAATTATCAACCAATTTATCACATTAAGGAGAAAGGATTACATTCTTTATCCCTGAAAATGAATTTTGCTGAGCCAGACTTACTTGGGTCAGGATTCCCTTTTGCTATGCTTTCAGACAGAGACACGACTGAGAAATGCCCGGAATTAAAAGTATGGAACAAGAATTTTGAAGACGTCTTAAAACCTGATATTGTGAAATAGCCACTGGACTTCATGCTAAATCCTCACTATGCTATAGAATTCTAACAGGTATAATTAAGGAACAGTTTCCCCCCAATGAACAGATGTTTTGTATCAGCTGAAACTTTCCTTTGCCTGTGGAAAGGTTTGTCTCCAATTGCGCGCGGTTTTTGCTATGAACATTCACCCCCCCCCCCCCCAAACGTGCGTCCTGGTGGCACATTGCTGCAGTGCCCCATGAGCACAGCAGTGAAAGAATCGGGCTCACGGAGCCATATTTCCCTCCAGGCTCTTAAAATAGTGATTAACTGCTAGCCTATACCAGACCTGATTAGATGATTAGAGAAACAGAGTTGTCCTCATGCCTCACGTCACCCTCTAAAGTTTAATCAAGAAATGTCATACCATTTTAATAGCTCACTATCCTGAAATATGTCCCCCTAACAATGCATCTGGATCTATTGCAACTTGAATTAATGGGAATACACTCCTTTCATAGGGCCAGTCTGACAGCTTTATTCACACTGAGTAGCATCTTACCCCAGAAGTAGTCCACTGAAGCCAATGGGAACACTCACTGAATCAGGTGCTATTCACCATGAGTAAAGGTATGAGAATCTAGCTCTTAAACTGAATTAGAGATCCATGTGCTCTGACAACTAGCTTTTGAATGCTGCAGCTCCTGCCTTTCATTCACCTATATGGTGAACTCCCAGCCAACAATTCTGGACAATAGTTTGCATTTGAATCTACAGGTAGGATGGAATTACAGCAGTTCTGCAGGTGCCAAGGAGGATGGGGTGCAGTTCCCCACAGACAAATAACTCGGTAAAGAATTAATAGTGAAATTTCTGCTTATTCTAATGGTGCACCTGTTGTAGCTATTCTGTAAACAGGTGGCTGGGGATAGCTAGGTAGCAGAGTAGGTTATTTTTTTCACCTCTGCACTCCTGGGTATAAATCTGAATTAGCCTGGTGATTTCAGTACATGGCCACTAGTATTTTTGCCAGTCCAAGACTTTTCAGAGAAGGTTGGACAACATGGTGGTAAAAATGACAGCAGCCACCTTATCCCAATACCCCCAGCACTTCTGTCTCTGTCTATGAATTGTGTTAACACCATTATTTCACCATACTCTGGTCTGCTGTGGAGGTTCTCACTCCCTATGTATTCTTGAACCAAAAAATGACCTGCCATCCACATGTACCACAATCCTTTGCAGCAGCCGAGAATTGTGGGATTTGGGTCAAAGGAGAAGCAATGGGTTGGTGCTGCTCTGAGTTGAGGGGGATTTCTGCCAGAGGCACTTCCCTCCTTCCTCTTATTTCTCCATCCTCCACCCACACCATGTTCAGCTCCACTTTGAGAGGCTGTGAAGCACAACCTGCTTACGTTGTTGCATGTATGTTATCCCAGGGCAGTGTCACGTTGTGTTAGAATGCGGTTTTGTTTTGTCTGATAATAATCATGTCTTGGATTATAACGTAGGATAGACTAGGCCTAAGTCTTCAGTACACACACAATTCAGTTCACACACAAAGCAAACTCTGCAATCACTCAGCAGTAGGTCAACAATTGTGTTCAAGTCAAGTATTGTCAGGGCCGGCTCTAACTTTTTTGCTGCCCCAAGCAGCAAAAAAAAGCACCGCCCCGCTGAGCGCTGAGCTCCGCCGGAAACCCCCCCCGAGCGCCGCGTCCTGCGCCGCCCCCCCGCCGAGCACCGCGCCGCCGGAGCCCGCCCCTCCCCGCCGAGCGCTGCGCCGCCGGAATCCCCCCCCCCGAGCGCTGCGCCCCGCGCCGCCCCCCCCAGCCAAGTGCCGCGCCGCCGGAGCGCCACCCCCCGCGGAATGCCACGCCGCGCTGCCTCTCCGCCACCCCAAGATTGGCCGCCCCTTACCAGGTGCCGCCCCAAGCATGTGCTTGGTTGCCTGTTGCCTGGAGCCGGCCCTGAGTATTGTGATGGATCGACAGATCTCTGTAGGTTAGCTTGGGCTTAGTGTTAACCTCTGTGTTCTGTCACTTTCATGGACACTGTAACTCCGGCCTTGTCTACACTTGGAAAGGTTTGCCAGTAAGCTATACTGGTATAGCTTATACAATTTCCCCAAATAGAATAAGGTACACCAGCAAAAAGACTTTTACGGATATTACTGTCTACACTAAGGCTTTTACCAGAATCACTAAATTGGTTGGGAGGGGGGGGATTTTTTCACACTCCTAGCTGACAGCTATGCTAACAAAACTTGTTAAAGTAAACCAGGCCTCAGTCACCCAAAACTGATGAAAAGTTACTTTTATAGTACACCTCTACCCCAATATAACGCTGTCCTTGGGAGCCAAAATATCTTACCGCGTTATAGGTGAAACCGCGTTATATTGAACTTGCTTTGAACCACCGGAGTGCGCAGCCCCGCCCCCCCGGAGCACTGCTTTACCGCGTTATATCCGAATTTGTGTTATATCGGGTTGCGTTATATCGGGGTAGAGGTGTATCTTCACATTTTAATATTAACACAAATTATAATCTTCTGTACAGATAATGTTGTATAAAGACTGCTTAAAACAAGTCCTAGTTTCCAGTATACTGTACAAATTGGAAAGGTCTCTCTCTGATGAAAGAAACAAAAATAGTAAATACTAGTTAGCAAATATTCCAAATGTTGCATGGATCTTTAGCCATGAGATTCACAATAAAGCTAATATACTATGCACATCTTTGCACATATACCCTTATGATTTTTAGAGAAGAATGAATAGCAACTCTTTAATCTTAGTAAGAAATTAGAAAAATAAATTAGATGTAAAGTCACTGGCAGAATATCATAAATGAAACAAATTGTTTTGAAGTACCGCTTTAAATGCTAGCAGTGACCTATGATTTTGTGGAAAACCGATTTGTGTAACCTGGCTTTAGCAAGCTACAGTG